TTTATTACGTTGAGTCATTGTTGAACACGGATCAATATGGTTGGAAGTAGAAGCTGAGCTAAATCGAAAACAAGTATAAGGACAAATAATATATCGAGTGGATATATAGACTAAGAACTACTATAGGCACGGTATGGATCTTATTGCTTATAGATAAACAATAAATCGACAAAAGTATTAAACCGTAAAATACGGATTATATAGAAACCAATTGTCCTAAAAATTGATCCTGATTTATAAACCAGAAAATAATGAACTTCTCTATAGTTTTCTTTAGTGTGACGTTGTTCTTAGATTATAAAAAGGAGGATGAGCACTGCGGAAGAGTGGATCCAAACTTGATAACTGGCGGTGATATAACTGCGTATTTGGAAGCTAAGGTAGCAGCCAATATAAGTTAAAGTTGATGAGTGGTATAATATCCACTACAATATTCCAGAAATCAGTAAAAATATATCCACGTTATGGAGAGAGATTGTGACGTCCGATCAGAATCGCGCGCGCTACTAGAGAAGTTCACTAAATCAGCCACTTCGCCCTCTGTTCTGAGTGGGTAAGAATGCGGAAAATTGGGTTTTCAAGGGACAAGGATGCTGCGTCTTGGTGCTATCATGTATCTCTTCACCCTCTTCATGCCATCGTTTATAAACACACTTTCTGACAGTCGTAAGTGTTGTGTCCTACCTTCACTGGTTGGGACAGTTTTTTAGAACAGCTTACCCACCAGCTTAGTTATCCAGAGTAGTTAGTTAGTGCGGCCTAAGCTCAGGTCTAGCATGCAAGATAGAAGCGCAGCAATCACGACGGCTATTTTCAGTCGGGGCCAACCGCAAGCGAGGTCAGAGACGTACAAGCAGCCTGCCTGATTGGTCTCCCAGACATGAGTCTTAATTGAGGGTATTCAGCGAACCCAAGTAACTCACTTGTACAAGTAGTGGATGTATTGTGAATGCTGACGCTCTTTCCACATAATGCTAATTCCAGTACAGATGAAACTACCATGTTTGTTTCTTGATTCTCAACAGTTTGCACTTCTGGTTCTAGTTCAGCTTCTGAGGTGCTTAAGAAACAGATTTATGTCAGAATAATGACACAAGCTACCAACAGCTCGTATCATTGTAGCAGACTGATTGCGTTTTTAAGATTTTATTTTCAAAAGCACGGTAGGAAGCGACTGAGGCAAGCAGTTTATTCGAGCACACAGAAAGTAATTCATCATTCAACAGATGATGAAAGCTTTCAAGTGATAAAATTATAGTTCCTCTTCGATTACTTGCCTCATCCTTCTGAATCGCTTAATCGTTAACTAGATTTGAGTGACCATAGCATACTATGTTGTAGAAAACCTAAAAACCTCTCCTGTATTACCTCCCCATAGCATATGTTAGGCACTAGATTTCCGACTGTTCCCTTTCCTAATTCCATGGAAGGAATAAATACACTGCCCTTAAAGAGGGGCACAATAGTCCATTGCATAATGAAGCCGATGTGGCTCAAGAGGCTGCACTTCTTAATTTTCATTTCCTCTTGCGTGACACACTTTTCTTCTCGAGCTAATTTAATCATGCATGCTGACAATGAGTTTTTCTTCGCTATCCCTGTCAGGCTGTCTTCGCGTGAATGCGTTCCCATCTACAGTTAGCCATTGGTCCTGCACGTATGGTCCCAAACTAAATCTCAATGAACGTTAGGCCATTAGTTTCAGTCTCACATGTCCTATAGACTTGTATGATCAGATTTCACGAACGTTAAAACGACAGCATTACTGCATAACATTATAATATATTCTCATTTGTTAGCACATGAGGTGTGCGAGCTTGTAAGCACCATCAGTGTATCAAATCATATATAATTAATGGGCATATCCGCAGGAGTTTTCTAAAAACTGCAGTATATATGTATGTATAAAACAAGATCATTGGAATAATATCGATAAATTCGCCTTACAGAGCTGAAAGCGCTGCACATGGTATAATCCCTGGAACCAGCACAGTTTAAAATTAAATTAGTGGCGCGCACTGATAAAATATTGCGTTGAGAATGGTCAGTATGGAGGATTTTGCACAAAATCGTTAAAGTACTTGTGTAAAACTCCGGTTTACCGATAATGAAGTACCCCGAAGTAAAAATGGGTCAGTTTAACAATGAAAAATGGATCGCCTGAAGCTGATCTGGCTCCATGAGTTTAGTCCGACTGCTAGAAGGTGACAAGTGCAAGTGCTAAACAAACTTATTCCTCAGTCTACAGAAAAGGAGAGACAGTGCACCCTAGTCCATATATCATAGCAGTTGAATTGTTAAATGAAACTGAAACAATCCCTGAGCACCCATGTGCGCTTCAACAAGTTACAAACCTGCACCGCTTTTCTGCAGACCAACCGCAAGTCAAGAACGATTTTTTCTTGCTCATCATACGGCATATATCATTAGTAAGATGGGTGAAGGGTAACGTTCTTGGTGCCTTCAGAGGATCAAATGCTTGGAAGAAAGAGTCAAATATAATCTCGCCTTGTCGCTTTTCTTCAGAAGTATTATTCCAGTTACGTAAGGAGTGGGCTACGCAGAGGCTTGTTCTTGATTGAGATGAAGAGTTAACCGTCCGGCACCAGATACCTGAAATTTTCAGGTGTAAGGGGAGCGACTCCAGTTTTTCACTGAAAGGACTGTAATGAATAAGTACTGGTTCAGAATTCATGCATAAGGATCTAGTTATGTGACGCAGTCACGAATCCTACTGCAACCCGTCTCAAATTCTTCCGCAATATTAATAATACTTCTGAACTAATAGGTAATAAGCTGTTAACTGGTGGTGGGTTCTATTAGTTACTGAAAGCTTCACCTGCTCCCTCTGCGACAACGAAGTTGTCTCAGGCTCGAATCAATTATATCCATAGTCTGAAACTGTATGTACAAGAAGGCATACAATGTTGACAGGAGGTGATTATTAATTACACGCTTCTTTAGCTGAACAGGACCAGGAAAAATTCTCAAGTGATCCAAATTTGCAACTCTTCCTGAGAAAGAATATCTGAGGAACGCTGGTGATAACGCACACAGAACACATTTGTTCGGTTGGATAATTACCACATGATGCTAGGACGACGAACTGGTGGCGACGTTCTTTTAGGAAACCAGTTAGCCAGACTGCTTAACGGCTTTCAGCTTATTTCCAGTTCGTTTCAACTAGAAATAATGCTCACTATTACTGTATGACTATCTGTCATGTTAGATCTGATCTCTGGCCACACCACTTGCTAACTCATTGTACTTGTCCACCTAAACTGGCATCAAAGCCATCCTTTACTACGCCCCAACTAGTGAAGGGAAAATACAACACTAACGGCCGCTTAGAGGTGTATTTATTGACGACGATTTGGAGAGAGCTTAGAGGTACACAATCACACTACACGAAGTTGCCAAGATCTTGTGCCCTAAAAATCCATTAGTACACCCTGTGTTTCATTTTGGACAGATAGACAAACTTATTGCTAACAATGAATCGGCTGACGTTCAAATGACTTGATGAACCACTTCTACGCCCGACAGTCTACCTCTATAAACTAGACAACTATATGCAACTTGAGCAGAAAAAGTAACCAGGCATATGAAAGTCAGGGTGAACGAGCTCTGGCAGACTAGCCTGAGTAATCCTTTGGTGAATGACAATGAGCCGAATATCGTCATATTTAAAATTACTCTTTTAAATATTTATTAGTTGCCAAGGTAATCGAAAAGATGTAAAATACCCCTAATAAGCTCTCCAGATACTTAGGAAATAGTAATTAAGCATCGCACCTTGAATTGTGGGGCAGGTAAAGGAATCAATCCCTTTGCACTGATAATGGAATAAAAGGAAAATTTAAGAGTTTAGAAATTACTGTAGTATGTCAAAATCACGTTACCATTATTATCCCTATAGGGAGCGGTAAAATTTGAATTCTGAGATCACAGATATTTCATTAGAAGTCATATTATGCTTTGTCAGCAAGTTAGAAAACACATTACCAACCAGGCCCGTTGGTTTCCTTGATAATATTGTAGACATAAAAGTAAATAATGGTGATTAGTCGTCTGAAAATTGTTCTCCACGTTTTGTGTCATACAGTTAAGGCACCACAGAAGTCTTATCGGTAATTAATACCTCCATGGGAAGTTTCTGTAATGTACAGTAGTATCCCTACCGAAAAAATATGGTCAAGTGCATCTGTTTTCTCTTTCAAAGAGTCTCTGTGGTAAAAATTGCACATCCTGCCTCTGAGGCGCATGTGGTTCTGCTAATTTTAGCGTTTATTAGTTACATAGAAATAGCGATTTGCTTGGTTACCTACATGCTGGCCTCAACATCTAAAACCGTTGGACAGGAAATCCATTTTTCCTATGAAGGATAACTGGTTTTCGACAAAATATATAGTAAAACTCTCCAGGACAGTACATTAGAAAGTCATTTCAACTTATACCTCAACTGGCTTGTAGTAAATTTAACAAAGCCATCAGGCAAATGGCTTACAACGGTGTTAATAGGTGGATGGTTTCACCACGTTTTACTTTTAGGTAGACTACTTCCAATTGTAAATAAAAGGTATATGTGTAGATAGGGTTGGGATGACCAGAATAATTTTTTGATACAAATGACATAATACAAAAGCAAAACTGAGGAAAGCGTATATGACCTGTGGATTTACAAAAAAAGAAATACAAACGAAAAAGAGACTGTGGAACAAACAAAAGCAACTTTAAACCTCACCCTGACTGAAATATCTGTCATGGAGATTAACCTGGATGTGCTTAACACAACCAAAAACAAAAGACTCCAGAACGACAAAAATTCTACTTACATTTTCAAAATTTCATAGCGGTATTAATAGCCAACTGAATAAAAAAACTAAACAGACCTGGTTAACCCTAATTTTCTAACTTTCAATTAAGTCAATGTTGTTTAACTATGCCAAACCCTAGGTGAAAATCCATGACAACTTAAAATATTTTATGATTTCAACGCTATGGTTGGCGTAGATTCGGAACAAGAAGGTATGACTGTCTTAATAGAACACATCTACTTACATTTTTTACTATACGATGTTTTAAAGGGGATTTTAGCATATTTCTGTTTTAAGATGTTCATTTCTAGTCAAAAAGTCTGAAATATTCTCATATTAGTATTTTTGTTGATTTTCCTGGACGACAGTTAACTTTAAAATTATCAAAATAGAACTGTTGCTTTTAAGATTGTGTTATAGAGTGAATTTCCTCCGAAGCTGTACTGGAGAATTGAACATTCATATATATGTTTACTCAAATAAAAAATTTAAAGGGGCAATTTTCGGAAATCACAGTGGAGAAGTTTAGGGGAAATGCAACACTCCTTCCCCTTAAAACCCTAAAATTCCCCTCTCCACAGCCCTAGATTACCCTTGAAACACCTGAAACTTGCCCCAAAAGTTATTATTTTGGCATATACAATGTTATGATATTCTCCTCATTTCTATGACAGACGAACTCTTGGCCCTACAGTTATATCCTCGTTCCTCGAATTGCAACGTATTTCGATTATCGTCAATATTCTTAGGGTTCGTCTTGTACTTTGTTTACATTCAAACTCTGTCACGCTTAGACTTTAAAGAGATTTGTTCAGATTTGTAGCTGATATATGAATATATAAAACGGTGTTTACTTTAAAATGAAGCACGAAAAACTAAAATTTATTACTTTGAACATTCTTGAAGATTCAAAAGGCTTTGTGCGTTCTCTTATAGTGCCATGTAAGGCAATACTATTATACCAGAGTTATCTAGTCACTCATCAAATTTCATATTATAATGGACAGTAGTCTGTAGGTCTATATTAATCCTTTCTAGTAACTTCACGGTGGGGGTCTGATCCCGCTTTAAGTGAACTGCTTCACATTCAGAAGTAAATGATCCGAGAGAAAGATTACTAAGTTCAGTGAGTATATTTTTCTGTTGACTGCATCCTCAAAAACTGTACAGTTTCATTTCTATACATAAGCTCGTGTAATTGCAATTATCACTTGATTGATTCAGTTGAGATAATCATTTTTAACAAAGCTTCTGTTATCAATCTCTCCCTTCACCCTGAGACATTAGATTTTAAAACTGTCATCCTATCTCATCCTATTGTATGATTGTGTGTAATTGCATGTAGTCCTACAGCTGAACTATTCTCTGGATTTCTTATCTTATTCGGGTCAACTAATCTGGATAAGAAATTTGGAGAATAGTTCAGCTATAGGACTACATGCAATTACACACAATCATACAATAGGATGAGATAGGATGACAGTTTTAAAATCTAATGTCACAGGGTATAGGGAGAGATTGATAACAGAAGCTTTGTTTATCGAATCAACTGCAAACACGTGTAATAGGAATGATTAAGCACCTTTGGAGGCTGGAGGTATCGACGTTCACGAACTGTACGGAGTATACTAACGCAAGATCTTATACCAACAACTTCTATGGTGTTCGCTCTTCGAGTACCAAAGATAAAGTAAAAGACCAGATTTAGTTGTCCAAAGTACGTAATATATTTCGGGACCAAATCGCGGGTTGAAGTGAATGCTTAGCTAGCCAGTAATCGTGCACCCACGTGACACGACGAAGTACCAAATGGCGGGGATGCTTGACCGGAAGCCTTCAGCTAAACAAGTCGACTTAAACAGTGATGGTCAGCATCCAATGTTGAGTGATGATTGCTGTGGTCAATAATTTTGGGGAATTATTTACCGCTACACACCTGTCCGAGATATCTGGAAAATTCTGCTACCCCTACGACAAATAGGATAGAACAAAGAAGACTATAAAACTCAAGTTCCGAAGTCGTGTGATGATGATTGATAAGATTATGAACAATAAATTGTGTTGGAAACTATGTGATCCAGTAAATAATACTGTTTCACTGTGTGATACATCTAGTAAACAAACTAATATGGAATTACGTTTTAGGAAAGGTTTTCTGTGTTGAAAGAAGCTTTATCAAGCAAGAATGATCCTCCATAAAACCTGGCTACCCAGTGGAAAATATTTGTTGCCCTCAGTATGATGCATACAGCATGACGGATGATTTTCTCTAATAGTAACTGATCCCCACAGGACAACAGTTCCTAACTAAGTGTGGTTTAGAAGACCGAATTGATGGTGACATTCTTTCAGTCTCGCATACACTATACTAATCCAGGGAAATAGTGAACACCACTGGCAGTGGCCTTGTTTTGGTCTTACTCTACGCCGGTGGCAGAAGTTTATTGTGGCTGCTGTATTTTCCAGGGTTGCGCTTTGGAAGAGGCTCTAAGGTTGTTTTTTCTCAGTGTAGACAGATTTCTGAAAAAAACTATTAATCTCGAAATGTCATTATCATAAAACTACTTGGCTAAAGTAACTTGACTGAGACTTGATCTTGGTTGAATTCTTACTAGCTATACTTATTGAGCCTTCCTCAATTAGAAGGATAGAGATGACGCCACTTTTACTTGTCCTCCTCTCCATGTGGGGAGAGGAAAGATTGAAAGCCATCCCTACTCCTCGAACCAGTTTAAACACATATTCAAAACGTCCACATGCTGATTTCATTATGTGTTCGAAGAAAATCATAGCTTACGTTGTGTAAGATATCTAGAAAGTATTCTTATGAATGTGAAAAGATTCCGATATTCAAAAGCTTTCAGATGTCTTGATCATGGAGGTAGCTTTGATTTTACAATCGGGTGTTACTGAGGGAGTTCGTAAACTTTTGGTAGCGTGTACTAATCAAACAGTCATGTGCGCAATTACAGCTAATAGGTATACTCATATTGTACTACAATGACCTACTTAGCTGCCGTATCAAAAAATCGAGATATTTTTGTGAGACGTCGCTTAAAGTTTATTAAAGTTCAGCACCATCTTCAAACAAAACAGTATAACCTGATATCTATCAATAATTATTTAGTATAGGGTAAGTAAAGGAGGAAATATCTCTGGGGCTGAATACTCTCGTTATAACTGTGTTTTCATTAGCGAATAGTACCAAAATATAATTCTCTGGATATGATGAATTAGCATAACTAAGCTGACATCCTCCTTCATGTATGAGGATCACTTCTGGGGACTCCTACTGATATCGATTTAGGTTCATTATGAAATTTTAGTACATATCATTGATGATAATGAGGACGACTTCTGAATTCTCAGTAGCCAACTACACTCAAGTGAATCAAAATAGTATTTATACGCTCGGATATCTCATTTTTTCTAATGAGTATCATAACTAAATCCAACCTTTTTTATGTCTTGCATCATGGTGTAACTTCATTTATTCATCAGTGGCTTGACTATCAAAGAATGAGGAGTTTGTATTGTATTACATCTGCTCTAGTGTTTGAAATAACTGACACTAGCTCTTGCAGATGTCGTCTTTGACTGATCTTTTCAGTGTCTTCTATATATATATATATATATATATATATATATATATATATATATATATATACAGAACAGGTAGTGAGGCGTATGAGAAATGAAGACCTAAATATTTCCCAGTATCATGTTCACTTATTGACGGTAATAAACAAGTTATGGAGCACAAGTGTGAAGTTATTTTAAATCGGAGGCAACAAACAGTTTCAGGCCATGATCTATACCAGCTTCTTCAAAAAGTGATTTTTCTGGTAGTTAAAGACTCAAACAGTTTGATGTCTGTATGTTTTGTCTTAAATCAGATTTTAGTATTTATTTCAAATTTTGTAGTTATTTTTGTCTTAGTGTTATTTGTTCACAAATATTATTGAATTTCACTTTCTGGGATGTAGTCACAAATAAATTCGATTACTTTTTCAAGTATTGGTTTATAGGGATTTGACTGATTGATTACAGGATTTCATCATGAGTTGACATTGGTTAGAGGACCATTGGAAAACCTGGGAGTAATGATTAGCTGTATCGTCATAATTTGGGACTGTTCATCAGTGCGCACCCATTGCCAGAGCTCGAACCCAGGACCTTTTGGTTTCAAGGTCTGCGAGCTCGTAGACCATTAAGCCACTGGACCCGATCCAATGGCCAGTCCATGAATTCCAACTTCTGCCAATTCACGACATAGCGTGACCACTAACCACTGTCTTCAGCGAGTATTTGTCTTCACACCCAACCTGCCGTACCCGACTGGTCATAACTTCCCACCAGAACCACAGGTAACTATCTACATGAATAGGGCATCTCATTGATATTCAAGTACTGCTTTTTGGTAGACGAGGATTCTTAACCGAAAATCGCATAAATTCCTTTTGAGTATTGATGTTATCAGGAATGATTACTAGTCTAGACAAACTTCTTGTGAAGTGCTTACCAATTGCAATAACTTCCTCAGTTTAATTGATAATATTATGATGTACAGAATTCGTTATACCTATACCTAATGGGTTTTGTGGAGTGTGAACTTTCAGAATATTAAATAATTAAAGCGTATTAATACAGTGTTCTATTTATAAATCTATTGAGGCATAATTTATGGATCTACTGATTAATCTTTTTCTTCACAATCAAAAGTTCACATAGGGAATCGTTCATCTAAAAAAAAACACAGATCTTTGTAGATTTCATCCACCTTCTTCTGATAGTCAGATTTATCCATGGTAATTATATCAACATTTCTATTTTTCTCAATGACAGTTTTGCCTTTCTATTTTTGATGATGACACTTACTTAGACAAATTTTCTACCGTACTGCATTGTTGGGAAGCTGATGAGAAATGGTGACTAGTTTCACTTTAAACCATTCCAAATTGCTTTTATAAAACAATGTTAAATCTGATATTTGAGTGTTCAAATTTATTTCACTGTGACGGAACTAATACCCCACTTACCGTTGCACCGACAGTCTTGTATTTCAGTCCAAATGCAAATTAATTTTATGTTTGTTTATGTGACAAATATTTTACATCGTTTTTGATAATGTTTGCCCCACGGACATAAATTACGTCATTACAATAGACTGCAAATTTAGTCCGATCGCAGGGAATCTGTGAAATCATATCACATCACAACATTTATCTTCTGAATGTTTTTATTTAAGTTATAAAACTAGATTGTTTTTGTCCAGTGATATTTTCAAACTAAATTTTAAAAAAGCTAGCACTTTCATAAGAGCTTATGTGATCTTGGCTAATCTCAGCACTCAGTGGTACTTTCTAGAGAGTGTATCAATATTGAAAAATATCGGAGCTTTGTTAAAAGAAAGCCGAGTTCCAAATCAAGATTATGCGGGAATAGTAGGGAAAGTTTGAAGTCCTAGGATAAGCATAAGTTCAGCATTAAGTAGGACAGTGCAATCAAAAGGATATTATCATAATATTCAAAATTCCGGTTTAACAGTAATGAATGATTAAACGTGATCATGTAGAGACACTCAGAGATAAAGACAGGTTATATTACTGAACAGTAAAAAGTTTCTAAAGGCATAACTGAATTTAAAGGTTAAAGATAAAATGGAAATGAGGCAGAAAAGGAATTAACAATCACATTTTGATTGAGTGTAAATATCTCTTATGCGTCTCAAAAAGTTAGATTTAACTGAAAATAAGGTTGCCCTAGTTCGCCCCTGCCGTCATTACCTCTAAATCTTGTTCGTGGAGTTACAGTTTTGCAGCAGACAATGCTGTATCACAGTGTGATTTTCGTCATATGAAAATTTTCTTTGATGGAGCATATGTTTTTACTTTCCAGATCTAATGTAGGGTATTTATGGATGACTTATTGACTATGCTGATATATTTCAAACTTTATATTGTAATAATTATACTTCAAGCTTTATATACGGTATCTAAGTGCATCCGTGGTTCAATCTCAAAATACTAACCAACCATTCGGTGTTTGATCCCTGACAGACGCACTCCTAACCCTCCCTTAGGCGGTGGCAAGACCGGTAAAGATGTAAGGTTAGGCGTGAGGCGAGCGACCCACCTCGTAAATAATAAACATCGCTGGTACTGAAATTGTCAAGGTCAAACTTTCAGCTCTATGTTCCACTTGGAACGTAAAGGAATAAAACAAAAAAGACGAATATGGTATTTAAAGTGATACTACTTATATATATATATATTTGTCATTAGTGTAATTAATCCATATTTTCTTTGATTTTATTGAAATTCCTTTTTGCAACAAATCATACAATCTAGAAGAACGTCGATCTACTCATCAAAGTAATCTTGATGAAGACGACTTGAATGAGGAAGCAAATGACTTGAAAAAAGCAATTATTCTAAAACCAGGTGATAAATTTCTTGGAATATCAACCAATCCTGAATTGTATGAAGCACAAAGTGTTAGTCGTATTGAAGATATACCTGATGATGTACAAGAAGGCATTGAACGTAGTCTATCTGATCTTGTTAGAGATAGAATTTATCTAACAGATTTTGATCCAGACTTTCATTGGAACTCTTCACATGAAGAATTTGTTGAAAATGAATTTGCTAGCGGTGAACACAACCTACTTATCTGCTACATGATACACAAAGATGAGCTGAAACTAGAATTTGAAGTACCAAGATTTTGGTGTAGTGAAATTAATTATTTCATTTTCACACCAGGTGTGAATGGGGAGAAAGTGACGGTTGATAATTTTGATTTACGCATACAATTTGGTAGTATATCAGGTTCAGCTATACAACGTTTACTCAGTGTCATGTCAGCGGTATTTGCACCAAATCTATTCGCCAATACAACATGGCCAGATAGTATACATAATGATTTTGCACTACAATTACAACGCTTCATGTCATCACTGACAGATGCCAGATGGAAATTAGAAAATAAAACTGTGCTGTACATGCCTACAGAAGGTTTAGACTTATTACCAGAAATAGCAGCTAAAAATAAAGAACTAGTGAACAGATTTGAAATGATCATTATTCACTGGACAAGACAAATTAAAACTGTTCTAAATTCACAGAATGTAATTGATGAAATTGAAGGCACTGGTCCATTAGATGAAATTGAATTTTGGCGTAATCGTTGTGAAGATTTAACCGGAATTAGTCTACAGTTGGATAGACCAACTATCAAGCATATAACAGAGATTTCAACAATTGCAAAATCAACCTATATTACAGCTTTTTTAAAATTAGCTGATGAAATTAAATCGAATACGCTACAAGCACAGAGTAATTTGAAATTTTTGGATACAATTAAAGAAATCTGTCATCATTTAGCTGAATCGAAACCAGTTGATATTCCTCCCAAGCTACCACGTCTTATCAATACAATACGTATGATATGGACTAATTCAAAGCATTATAATGATAAAGAAGCTATAACAGGATTATTTCGTAAATTATCTAATGAAATTATATCAAGATGTTGTAGTGTTATTTCACTTGATGATATATTCAATGGAAAAGTTATCTCCGCTTCAGTAAATTTACATCATTGTATTAATTGTTGTGAAGAATATAAGCAGATTTATGATCGATTACAGTTGATGCATTCACGGAATTCATCAAAACCATGGGATGCACAAAGGAGTAGTATATTTGCACAAGTTGATGCATTTATACAAAGATGTCGTGATCTTTTGGAAGTGAGAACATGCATTATATATATTTTATTTTTGTATTTACTCTACACTACTTGTCCGTATGTAAATTTGATTTAACTAACTATTACAATGTTGCCACTGTTAGAATGAGTGGGTTCATAGATCATCCTAAAAATGACGCTGAGGGCGATGATGTATACTGTAAAAAATTCCCTTTGGATTCCCGGTGGAACAGGGGGCTTCAAAAGCGAATCGATATTTCATCCGGTCCTCTGTAAAACTGCCTTTAACTTATTCCACAATTGACCATAAGCTGTCATTTCCTCCTTGTACAATCTCCTTCATGTCACCCCCAGAACAACGCCCAACTTGTCATTTCCCATTCGGGTTCTGCTCAGGGGCTTGCACGCAATGTCACCCAGCCGTCTTCTCCACATGTATCCAATCCATCTCCATTTTCTTCCGCATATTTGTTGGCCAATATATTCTTGGCTGGTACTCTGCTTGTTACAGTTCGTTGTTGATAATACTTTCTGGCTATCTAACCTTCAGTATCGTGCTAGTGATGACAGCTGTTGATAAGGGTATGAAGCCTGTCCGAAATACTATAGGTGATGCGCCTAGGATCTGAACCATATAGAGGCACTAACTTCACATTAATGCTGGAATTTGAATCTTGTTTTTTATGCTGGGTACAGCAGATTTCCATATTGATTTCAGATTAGTCAAGGTCTCTCTTGACTTTCTGATCCTGACTATGACAACCTCACCCTTGCCAGCTATAGTTGAAACGGTGTTGCCTAGATGAATGGAAGAAGTTACTTCTTTCAAATTTATCCCACTGATAGTGATTGGTGCTTGTTCTTATTAGTCAGTTAGTTAGTTATCTCCGTCACATCTCTCTTGTGTATATCAAGTTGGCGGCGATACAGCATACCCATAAATACTCTAGTTTGAATGAGGGATAGTACTTGTATACAAGTAAGAAACAAAGAATCTCAGATGCAATAAAATCCTCGTAAGATCATAAAAATGTAATATCATATGATTATCTTTGAGACTTACCGTCTTCATTTGACTATCAAAAGCAGCATTTAGTGCTACAGACTATAAAGAACTCTGAAATCGTGCAGATAAATTCCTGCAAAATAATTTTTCCAATATCTGATTCAATGCCAAATATGTGAAAAAATCTATTCCTTGTGTCATTACGTGAAAATAGCGACGAACTTTGCAGCTTCAATGCGCTTGTAGCCTATGAATACTTAGCAAACTTTCATATTTATAAATTTGCTACGATATCGACCCGTCTTTCAGAGGATCGGATTTTATCCGGCTATTAGCCTTGAAATACTTGGTGACACTGAGGAAAAAGGGACCATTTCAGTGAAAATGTCTTCAAAGGCAAATTTTCTGAATTTGATCTAGTTTTTGGTAATATCGACGTCACTGATGTTGACTGCTGGAATAAATCCAGTGGTATTGATAAGCAAATAAAGTCATGGATACGCAATAATAATATTATTATCATTCCAAACAATACTTTTGGTACAAATATGGAATTCTCAGCATGTAAATACAGCATTGCATCTAATTTTCTTGTCACGGGGGCAATAATTAAAATAGGGCATTTACATTGATAATATTGTTCAGTAGAAAGTGAATAAAAATTTAAATCAAGTGAAAATATTAACGACAATGTAAGCATGAAAACAAAAAATTGTCGTGTACCTAGAGTTCCTCAGTACGTTGGTAATTTCCTGTCTTACACTTTTCTCGTCACATAAAATGTGTGCTAAATAGGGTATAGTAGAGTTTTTGTACTTAGTCGTCCGAGCAAACACTCTTCTATAGTTGCTTCTAGTTCTACCCGATGAGATGCAAGCAGAGAGAGTTGTGTATGGAGAGGATGTTCAGAGTCTGACACGATAATATTTGCTAATTTCTTGCAGGAATCCAAGTGTCTGTCTACAATAGTATTAACGAGTTGGTTTAGCAACACCCCACTCGCCCTACTGACAGCTTTTAGTGCCCTACGCAGTATAAAAAAGTCTTTCTTAAGTAGCCTGGAAAAGAGTAAGAAGGAACAGTAAACGAGAATAGGTAGAATACAAGAATTAACAAACGGTAACAGTAGAGACGGAATGATCCTCGCATGTCTTGAATTCCTTACGTAGAACATCAAACTAACATGATGTGGGAAGATCAGGAAAGGTAATCAGATGAAATATACAGTTGAAGGTATTCAACATTCGATTTGGTTTCAACTTCAGTGCCATCTATGATAGTGGAACAATGCGAACTAACCAGTGCATGTAAGTAGTGCTTGTGTCTGAAAGTGAAATTAACCACCTGACTTTTGGAGTGATTAAGCTTAAGACCATTTAACGAGGACCACTGACTAATTTCTGATAAAAAGTTATTCATTTTAGAACGGTCTGACAGAGAAGTAAAGTATAAGGAAGTCAGTTATTTTAATGACAAGTGAAAGAATAAGAAACTATATATATATATATATATATATATATATATATATATACAAGGATAGGACAGTAAAATCACGGATTCTTCTTTTTCCTCAATAAGTGGTTATCATTACTCCTATGCTATTGTAAGAAAGACCTTTTGCAGTCATTACCACTTCCTTAATGACGACATTCAGCATATTATTTAGTTGGTGGTAGAATCTAAGACGCACATTTCCTCCCTTATGAGACTCGTTAATTAGAAGTATCTGCTCCCCAGAGCAGGGTGTTCCCGATGAGATTCAAGACTCCTCTAAATATCTAAATGGGGATTTTCGCTACATTATTACTGATATGATTAAAAACTTCCTGTTTTGACAGTCCTTAAAGTATTTTTATGTACAGTGGATTAGAGTAGATTTTCTTTGAAAGGTAAATACAGAAATCGGATTACATGTTTATAAGATATGTTACACATGCACTGCACTAAGCTACAGTTACCTCTAGTTTATATTGTTTCCAGTATGTACGCAAGGACTTGCCTATTGTACAGATTTATTTCTCTTCTTAATACATTTTTTTTTGAAATTTAAATTTTTAAGATATGTGAATGTCAAAAACATTTTGGTCGATATGAAGAAGGCAATAAAACAATCATGCCAATATTTCAAGGAATTCGTGGTCCAGAAGTAGAGATTCTTTTAACAACAATTGAACAAATGTTTGCTAAATTAATGAATAATTTATTTGAAAAACGTCATTATATCTTAGATGTGAAGGCTACATCATGGCATGATGATTATAATCGCTTTAGGATAGGCATAAAAGATTTAGAAGTAATGATGCAAAATGCAATCAATACAGCATTTGAAACTGTTACAACTATACAACAAGGCGTTGAAGTATTGGATATATTTGCCCATCTTCATCATCGTGAGGTATGTCTATTTTCTGAAAAAAGAAACTGATATAAATTATTATTATTATTCAACCTTGCATAGTTGAACATATTTCGTTTGTTTTCGATTTTAGTTATTAGATGACATCCATGAATCAGTTGTTTCGTTTTTGTTGTAATATTAGCTATACTTTGAATTTAGCCATAAACTTTGTAAGAAAAGTAGTGACCTAATGAAGACCTTTCATTGTCTCAATGGTAAAATCATTTGAAAGGCGACAGGTAACAAAATGCTCTTCATTGCACACTTGATTTTAATTTAATTTTTAAGTACTCGTCCCTGTGAAAGTTCAGGCTTTTGTCCATTGATGACATTTCATGCCTTTAAATGGTACTTTTACTCTTTTTGCATTATGTAAAAGACAGTGAAGTCTACTAAGTAATGTAGACTGTAAATTAACATTTTTGGTGCAAACAGTATACGAATACCTCATTTGAATGTCAGCTTTTTCATATACATAATGGTCATAAATGACCTGGCATACATACACCATTATTCTTCCTTATTCAATTGGATTAGCAGTAAGCCATCAGATTTGCATTCAAGATTTATAATACTGAAGGTAATTGACAAATAAAACTACATTTTCAATAGCTGGTTTGTAAGGATTAGATTTGTTTTGACAAGTCGATCACAGATTGATATCAGTTGGTTCTCTAACTGATATTATTCCATGATCATCTCGTCAAAACAAATCTAATCCTTACAAACCAACTCTTGAAAATTAATCTGATGCTTGCTATTGACTTGCTACAGGACTGAGTTTCCTGGAATTCTAGTGAGAAGTCATGACCAGTGAGACCCATCCAGCCAAATGTGAGGATGGATGTCCCACCGGTGACATTGGTTGGTGGTCGCGCTAAATAACCAATTGGTAGAAGTTAGAATTCATGGGTTAGCCACTGAATTGGGTCCCAGTGACTGAATGGTATACGACATTGCCTTATAACTGGAAGGTCTTGGGTTCGAACCCTGTCAGTGGGTGCGAACTACCAGTGATTCTCAAACTAGGATGAAACAGCTGGCTATCCAATTCTGCTTGGTTTTCAATGGTTCTCTTACTGATATCAATCCGTGATCAAATCGTTAAAAATAAAACCTAATGAAAATAAAACACGTAGATCACCGAAGTGTCTCTTTTCGGTGAATTCATTTTCTTAGCTGTACAATCGCATATATATATATATATATAAACATATAGGTTATTTTTTATGTATGTGTACATTAAGTTTATCAAACAAAATACAATTGGTTATAGTTATTTTGACTAAACAGGTGAAGATTGGTAATTGGAGTTACGTGATACAAAATCAGTCAAGAAAATTAGGTGTTATTGAAATTAGGGTAGTAACAAAGGTGATGAGTTTTCACAAACAGTTGTTAAAAGAAGTTGTGTAATAATATGAACAGTTTGATGAGTGAGTTTTACTCAGGATGCACATAGGAACAAAGTAGATAATACGAAATTACGTAAGAGTTCTAAATGAATACAAGAATTATAAGCAATTAAAGAACAGGCAAAGAAACAAAATTAAGTCATCAAAATAAAAATAAAATAAAAAGTTGTTACCAAGACAGTAGAAGTGATTAAGTAATCCTGTTTTGTATGCGCAGCTCTGGTTTTTCTATGTGAATGGCCAGAGCTTCAGCGATACAAAGAAGACGAAACCGTATTGCCTTTGATAGGTTATTTTTGACTCTGTAGATTACTTTGAAGGAGGCGTTTGTTGAAATGGAATGATCGGTGTTAACCAGGTGTTCAGTTATCGCACTCCTTATTGCACCACTATTGCCTTTTCGCAACCATGCTGGATAGTGTTCCTGAATCCTCTTGGACCGGGTGCGCCTCGAACGACCAATGTACCTGGCTACACAGCAGCAGGTGAACTGATATATGCACATAGAAGTGGTCAGATGCAGGATCTTGTCCTTGAGGCTTCTGCAGATCAGTGGGCGACTTGAGAACACTATTCTTAGCGTTGCTGCAAAGAATGTTCTTCTTAGAGATGATGTGATCCTTCTCTTGACTGATTTTGTATCACGTAACTCCAATTACCAATCTTCACCTGTTTAGTCAAAATAACTATAACCAATTGTATTTTGTTTGATAAACTTAATGTACACATACATAAAAAATAACCTATATGTTTATATATATGCGATTGTACAGCTAAGAAAATGAATTCGCCGAAAAGAGACTCTTCGGTGATCTACGTGTTTTGTTTTCATTAATGCCTGGACGGGGATTATGCGTGAATTGAAAAATAAAACTACCTAAATGCTAACACAACAGTTGAATACAGACCATATACTAAGTTATGAAAGTAAAGAGATTGGACAACTTCAACTAACAGATAGTATTCCATACCATTAAAGATAGCTCTATTGAAGTGGTAAAATTGGAGATCTTTTCCTTTCAAGTTTTTTTTGTCGATGACGAATTACTAACAACTTTTATAACTCACTTATGTAATTACTAATATCCTGAATTTTTCATACTGTGTTATTGTTACATTGTTAAAATTCTATTAGGTGATATAAAATTCAACTGAAGTCAGAGATTATATACTCTAAATTAACCTGTAGAAAATTCATCTGAAAAAAAGAGATATCCGTCGTTAGTAATATGAGATTGTATTTGCTTTCCCCAAAACATCTATAAATTATTAGTGCATATAAAAGATACATAATCTGTAATAATTAACACCATACACCATAATACATTATGAAGCTTAGATGGCTGGAGGCAATCCTCAGGAAGCATTGGATCTAGGTTTCGTGCTAGTTGGCACTCCTCCGTCAGCAAGGCGTATCTGCAACCTTGAAGGAACTCATGTCCCTTCTGAGATTCGAACCCGCGTCACTCAGTGCTTAATTTCAGCTAAATTCCATTTAGCGGAAATGGAGACCAAATTTAATTCGATCTGTTTCTCAGTTCAACTAGCTGAATGTATAAGACGAAACGCTAAGCCATTCAAATATCTATATAGGAATGTGATAAAGCTGAAATTCAGGTGGATTTATTATAATGTGTATAGATTGCATAAAAACATACCATACTGTCAGCCGATAAACCTTTCAAAACTTGCACTGATGAATTAATGATTAAACTAATTAGTCGACTTTTATTTGATAAACTGAAATCAAACTTGAATAGAAAAGGGTATTTAGATAAAATTAAAATCACACTAGGTGTTAATGACGTTCCTCAGTGGCACAGCGGTTAGGAAGCTCGCCAACCATTCACATGGTCCGGGGTTTGGTCCCCGGCCGACGCACTCCTTTACCTCACTAAGCCAGTAATAAGGCTGGTGAAGAGAAAACGTTGGGCATGAGGCTAGCAACCTCATCCTGTAAAAATAAACACTGCTACAGAAACTTTAGGCCTCTAGCTTGAAGCCCTATGTTTCACTGGGAACGTGAAGGAATAAACTGAAGGCCTGCCAGAGCAGTAGTAGTGGCTGGTTGGACTTGCTTCTTCTGCACACAAAGTTGTTAATGATAGAGAAATTTAATGCTTCTTTCAGCTACTCAGCCATAGACGATATATATATACATATATATATATATAGAGAGAGAGAGAGAAGAGGGAGAGAGTAGTGCTCTTTCGAGTGTCTGTACGTTGATTAGTCTGTCAGATCAATACAAGCAGTAATTCAATTACTTCTCTGCTGCGTAACAAAACTTCTATTGATTAGGGAGACAGATAACTTCCTAAGGTGGAAAATGTCTCAATGTTTCGTACAAGGCCTTTTAAAATCGTCTTCAAGGGATATATTACACCACACTATAGAATTATGCAAACTAGTAGTTAAGATGAAAACTTATTTGACAAATCCCGTGATTACTGAAATTTAGACGACATGTTGTTAGGTATTGCCCATTAAGTGAATGAAATAAAATTCTTTAAATTATAGTCATACATATGTACATTAAAACTTGAAAACTGTTCATAAATGTTTGGCGCTAATTTTAAACTGATCAATTATGAATAAAATCTCTTTTAACCTTTTTAATTTTTCTATTTTTAAGACTATACGAAGAACTATTGATAGTAAAACAAACGAACTGATAACTCGTTTTGGCAATTGTTTAAATCAAGTTAAAAAAGAAATGTCTCAACGCGTCTACACTGGTATACCATTACCAACTGAAGCATACTACAGTGGGCAAGCTATCTACTGGAGATTCTTACGTCGTAGATTAGAAAAGGATATGTTGGTTAGTCATATGTAACATTTATATATCAACTAAAAGTAAAATACATGTTTCTAAGTCATTCCAAAAGCACAGGATATGTATGAGTTAACTGGAATTTGATCACGTTCATTTGAATACACTGGAATAGCTTAATGATATATATCCTATATCAACCACCTTTGTATGTCTTGAAGTTTGGAAATATGCATGATACTTGTCGTTTGACTGACGTCAACCAGAGATTAGATACTCAATGAATACTTAAATTTCAGCATAAGTATTTATGGTAGAAAGGGCCAAGTTAAACTTAAAGCACCACTAACTACCAATGGAGTGCGACCGCACCAGTGACCTTGAAACGCTCACTGAGCAAGTTAGTGAAACCTGGCAAATAATGTTGTCATCATCAATAAAATATGCTCATCGAAGTGCTATGTTATTAAATGGGATATCTGGCAAGTTTCAGCTTAGGTTTGGGAAAGATTAAGTTATGGTTTAAGCCAAGGACAAGTTAGGGTTAGGTTAACCTAATAAAGGTGACATTAGGGTTGGTTCGAGTTAGATTACAGTTAGTTTAGGGATATTTTCACGTTAGGGTTAGGTACAGGAAAGATCAGGATTATTGTTAGGGTAAGAAGACCTGAATAATTACATGCATAGAATGTGGTTAAATTACTCTGTTGATATAAGAATAGAACTCGTGCACTGTGGTAGAGTATAATTCCATTGTGGACAGCATTTATTTTGATAAAGTCTCACAGTGTTATACAGTAATATTTACTGATGACGTTTCGAGCACAATTTATTGCTCAGTAAATATCACTGTATAACACTGTGAGACTTTATCAAAATAAATTTTACCCACAATGGAATTATACTCTGTTGATACTTCAACCTAAAACTGAGAGCTATTTTTATCACATGTGAGAGAAAGGTATCCTCTGTAACATTTTTATGCATTTTTTTAATAAATATATGTATTCCATACACAAAAATGCCTCCTTCACGTGGCTGGTGCGTTCGAGGTCATTCGCTAATTAGTAGTTAGCGGTGCTTAAAGTTTAACTTTGCCGTAGAAAGGATGAAATGCGGAGTGACTTTAAAAACCCTTCTAGGAGCTAACTTTTTCACAGCTATTGGATTTCCTATTTCTATTTACATTGCTAATCAAATGGATGTCATTTCACCGAAAACACCCATTGAGGCAGGAAGAAAATAAAAGACAATTCAGTCAAGAAAATTTTCTTCATCCACGAAATCACCTTTAAAGGCTGTACAGTCGTATTTATATCTACCAAAAGTGTATAGTGGTCCATTATTGATTAATAGGAGTGATATAATTGATATAATTACTCAGAATTGGCTTCGAAAGTAAAAGTTATAAATTACGCAATACTCAACGTCACTAAGAAGAAGCTTAATTGACAAGTTTAAAACTGTTAGTGAGTGAGAAGAAAGGTAGTTGAGTGTTCATTTAACAAGTGTGAAGAGGGTGAGAAAACGTACAAAAGGAACATGTGAGAGTGATAATAGCGAATTAATTATTGAAGCAAAATCAAACTAATAATAAAAAAAAAAATAAAAAATTTACAGGGAATGACTAATGAAGAGGTTAAGACTATTGTAGAATAAGACACTGGATAAACTTTCTCTGTATATAGAGTTTGTGGTTGTATTGATGAATTGTCAACACCTCCGCCATACAAAAATGGCGAAACCTGATGCCCCTTGTACCATTTGACCTCACCTTGTAGATGATCTTGAAAGATGACTCTGATGGAGCTATATGGCTTGAATTCACTAAGTACTCGAGGATTGAGCTAGTAACTGTCTTGCATTGTCCTTTTGCTAACCATGCCGGATAATGTTTAGAGATGCGTTTGGAAAGTGTGCGCTTTGTGCGGTCAATATAACTAGCTCCACACGAGCAGGTGAATTTATAAACACAGACTGAAGTGGCCCAAAGCGGCAGTTTGTCCTTCACACATCCATTGATCATTTGTCAGCTGTAGAAATTGATCCGTAACTCAGCCAGAAAGAATGCTTTTCTCAGTGATCTGGATAAGCAGTTCTTCAGAATCTCAGCTGCGGTATTACCTTTAAATTCAGCGTTCACAAATAGCAGTTTCTTCGGCACCGTCTGGGTTATTTCGGGTTTTGCTTTACTTTCATGTTTTTCTTGGTGAATCTTGGAGGATATCCATTTTCCATGAGGACTCGTCTGAGTATCTCCAGTTAACCATCGATTGTATCACTGGTACATATCCTTCTTATTCTTAAGGATAAGAAGTGGACCAGATTTCTCTTTCTTCTCAAATGGACCCAACTATGAAAATTCATGTATTGACCATTCCATGTTGGTTTCCTGGAGATTGGTCTTTGAAGAGAACCGTCAGATCTCCTTTTTAGCAAAAGCATTCAAAAAATGAAATTCCAAGTTCATCTCTGATTCCGACATGAACTGAAATAGCATGATAGCAGTTGCTGAACTCCCTAGTTATCATCTTAATGTTGGCATTCTCATCGCATATGATAAAAGTATCATCCATGTGTCTTTGGTACATGGATACATGGTACAAGTAGCATCGTCAGCGTCTTAGCAAAAATAAAAACGTGATCAGAATAGAATTGTGAGTGAGGTTCGTGAAAAGTACCCGTATCAATAAAGTAACAATCTGATTACTTTTCACTGCATTGTAAATCACTCACTAGACTTACCACTATTCATCTTTTTGCAAAGGCTGTCAAAGCTATTCATCATTTCATAATGCCTGGCAAAATTAATATGGCAATGTAGTCGTTAATGTAGTACCAGTAGTAGAATTTGGACACTGATAGGGTATTAGGTAAGTTTGCCTGACATGCAACACAGTAATGCAGTGTTACTAACTGGTTGACAATGCTTTACTCATAACCAGTTGTCCACAGTCGATTTATCATGAGTCAAGGCTAGTTAACAACCTTGTTAGTTGAGTGGAAATTTGATATTTTGGTATTTAGCATATATTTATCAAGATAAGTAATATTGTAACGATAGAAGACAAGGGCCAGGCAACACATTGTTTATTGAGAAAATCAACAGATATTTATAGATTTTTATGTACATTATTATTCGTTATTGTTAGCAGAGAGGTAATGTCTTCTGATTGGTTGTTTTCTTGCTGAAGGTTATTCTGTCATCTTTTTGTGGCCGTTTCTTAGACAGCTCGTTGATATATCTGCTAATCGTATCCGCCTACGCTGTCTTCCGTGATTGGTTGTTGAGTTAGTCTTTGTTCTTATCTTTTTTTCATGACCAAGATTTGGGAAGTAAACATTGGCGTAAACTGCTGTCTATCAATTTTGGCTAGCAGACAGCTCTCACCACAATATTAGTTAAACCATCTTAGTGTTTTACTATGACTTCTTGATATATATATATATATATATATATATACATATAATATATTCAGTAACTCACAATGTGATCCTTATATTTCTTTCCAAGTTAAGTCATTCTACTACTAAAGCAATGTTTTCGAAATCTTGAAAAACGTTTAGCACCTTTGGTAAATCAGTTCACTTTGTGAAAACGTTTCTGTTATTATTTGAAATATTTAAATTATTTGATTACTGAAAAAAACGATAGACGTGTGCATCAACTAATTTCTGATATTTTTATTAAAAATATTTCTATCTATGTAGGCTATGGACCAAGCATTTTTCTTACCATTATTTGAAGCTGGTTTAGGAGATCATCGTCAACAGTATACACAGACTTCTGGAGCTTTAGAAGATTTGACTAGGAAGACATTTAACGAATTCCTAACAACCATTGAACCAGTAAGTTTAAATCACGCATGTTTTCTCCTCTCTATCGTCTATTTACAAACTTTGGCCTGGTTAGCAGTTCGTTACAAATCTAAGCTGATGTGTTGAATATTCTATGTTAGATTGAGCATATCGGTTTTCAAAGACTACTGGTATAAACAACAGGGAGAAATTTAGCTGTAACCAAGTATTACTGAGTTTTGGGATTTTGTTGTTGTGATCATGGTGAAGGCCCACTATGTCACCTAGGCCTAACCAAACATTTCATCTGAGCCTTAGAGTGTTTTAAGTTTGCTTTTAGGGGATACTCATCCGGACAGGCTAGAATGCCATTTCAATTAACTTCCTTGTGCTATTCACACGGAGAATCTCTGTATCCTTAATTCAGTTATACCACCTAGATAAGTTCCAAAATCTTTTCTCTGAATAACCTTAACTTTGTTGTATTTAAATATACTACTTATTAGAGCATATTACTAAATAACTGAATCATCTTGATTTGCGTTTTGTTGACAGTATCTACAAGTCAGATAAAGTACTGATTTATAGGGTAATTAGGCAAACTAAATTTAGTAAGACTGGTATAGTTTGGCTAATCGATAACACTACTACTATTACCTTGCAAGAGTTTTAGGCGTTGTATTTTGTGCAACGCGCCATTTTCTTCAGTCAACATATGGCTTACTTTTTTGACAAGATGTAGAAATCAGAAATTAAGCCGCCATCATCAGGAAATCATTAAATGATTTCGTAATTATGTGATTAATAGTGATTTCATAATTTGTACAAAATGAAATTCCCCAAACATGTCGTCAGGTTTAAACTCTTCGTAAAAAATATTGACGACTACTCATGGATTTTGGTTTCAGGACAGGATAGGATGAACATGTTAACTTATAAGGATATCTAGTTACAATTACAAACTATTATCTGTGACAATTATACATCTCATCCAACAGTTGTACGAAAATGCTGCATGCCAAGTAATCCACAACGGGAAACTTACGGAATCCTTCGAAGTGAAGATGGGAGTAAGACAAGGCTGCCTACTATCGCCAATGATTTTCCTGATTGCAGTAGATTGGATAATGCGACAGACAGTGGGCAATGAGGAAACAGGCATAAAATGAACCCTAACGAAAAACTTGGAGGATCTGGACTTCGCCGATGATATATGTCTGATTTCCCACAAACTGGAAGATATGCAAGTGAAAAGCAACAAGTTGGCAGAAGAAGCATCCAGAGAACATAGGCCTTCAGGTGAACATAGAGAAAACAGCGGTAATGAAGATTCCTGGGGAACACCAACAGCAGCAACAACAATAAGCATAAATGGGAGGAATCTGACAGAAGCAACCTCCTTCACCTACCCACCTCTACCTACCTGGGAAGCATCGTTTCAACTACAGGTGGAACTGACGAGGATATCAAAGCAAGAATCGGAAAAGCAAGACAAGCTTTCACTACTCTCAAGTCTGTGTGGAGGTCAACAACTCTCAGCATCAAAAATAAGATCCGGATTTTCAACTCCAGTGTGAAGTCAGTCAGTGCTACTATACGGATCAGAGACTTGCACTGCGCGTCATAAAGAGCATCTCAAACAAACTACACACATTCATCAACAGTTGTCTTCGCTCAATACTCAAGATCAGATGGCCAGAAAAGATCAGCAACAGGGATCTCTGGGAGAGAACCAAACCAACCAGGAACCGATTGTGAAACAAATAGGCAGGAAGAAATGGAGATGGATTGGCTGGCCATACTCTGAGGAAACAATGCATCAAGTGACATCACTAGACAAGCCATTGCTCGAGTGGAACCCGAAAGGGAAGCGGGTCTTCATGTGAAGAGGAGATGAAAGCATGTGGGCAGACGTGGAGCCAGGTGAAGACTCTAGCAGAGAACCGAACGCAATGGAGACGCACGGCTGAAGCCCTATGTTCCTCTAGGAATTAAAGGAAATAATAATAAAATATAATAATTTGTGATAATCAAAACTTATTCATAATCTTTTCTTGCTAATACATTCTAGGATCCATTAAAATGTCTTGAATCATCCGTATTAGTACGTAGTCAACTGCAACCTGGTATGCTTGAACCAAATTTCAGTGGGATAGCGCTTAAATTACTCAATGAATTACACCATTGGATTCGACTTGGCTTTGAACTACCACCAAATGCAGCTGATGCTTATCGACGCCGATCAGAATTACATTATCTTCATGATCTTATATTAGTTGTTGTTCGAGATTATAATCGTATTATAAATTCATTGAATGAAGATGAACGTGCATTGTTTAGAGAACGTATAAAAATATTAGATAAAAAAATGACACCCGGTTTAATCAAATTACACTGGGCTGTTAAAGGTCTAGTTGAAATGTTTGTTAATGATTTTCGTTCACAAGCCTATAAATTACAAGTGAAAGTTGATGAATACAAATCAGCTAATGCAAATATTAAAGATAATTGTGAACAAATAGCTCAAACATTATTGATTAAACTAGAGCCAAATCGTGTTTATGAAAACACAGAATTTGATGACTGTCAGGTGAGTTAACTGCTGTCTCTTTTTTCCTTCAAACAGTAATAAGATCAGCTATTATTTTATTAGAATTTAAGAGATTGGCAGAAGTTAGAATTCAAGAACCATTGGATCCGGTCTTAGTGACTCAATGGTCTGCGAGCTCGCTTTGTAACCAGAAGGTCCTGGGTTCGACCCCTGGTGGTGGGTGCGTACTGATGAAGAGTCCCAAGCTAGGACGAAACAGCTGTCCAGTACTCCCAGGTTTTCCAGTGGTTCTCTAACTGATGTCAGCTCATGATGAAATCCTTCAACCAATCAAATAATAAGCTGTAAAATTAATCCATTACTTGCAATTTTGTTTTGAAAGGGGTATAGAAAACAAAAGTTTTATGTTTTGTGCAGTTCATTGTTTTAATCCTGTTGAAGTAATCAGTGCGAAGGTGAGCCAACTAAAAAGTCACCCTCATATTTCTTGACTTATTAATTCTTCTGTAGAGTTGAAAAAAACACAACAATTTGATACTATAAAAAACCATAAGACCTAACCATAAAATAGAATAACCCGATTACAATGTATCCTGTAGGCAAGACTAAGATTTATTCAATAGAAAACTATACCTTTTTCACAACTTTAAGTGGAGATAATGGTCATAATAACAATAATAGAGGGGATATAGTGCATTGAAATAAAATCAACCAGTAAGAACTTTATTAGAGTCAAAGTAAAATACGTGGATTTTACGTGTATTTTCGTCTATAGACAATACTTCAGCTACACATAAGTGATCAAAGCGTAAACACTTTGGGGTGGGGTGGGGGGGGGGTAAATTTAGCCTAACAGATAACTTCGAAAGTTGGTGAATCATGGGGAACCCAAATTATCTGACTACAAAATTATGAGCTGATAGAAACTTTGTCATCTTATGTTCATCACTCATCCATCGAACCGGACAATGTTCAGCAACACGTTTCCAGAAAAGTTGTTTATAATGTCTAGTGTAACCAGCCTCACATGTTTACTTGAAGCAGTGGGATCACATGGATGCGAGCATAAGTAGTAGTTAATCTAATAAGTAATACTGTTTCACTGTTATTTAATATATATAACTGCTTTTTAATTCCTTTGGGTTTCCAGTAGGACTTAAGGCTTCAAGTTTGGACTTTGAAGTTTCATTAGCTATGGTGTTTTTCTCTCGGGGTATGATAGATGGCCTTACGTTCACCTATATCTCTTTTCACGGTTTACAACCATCCAAGAGAGGTTTATGAGTGAGTCGACCGGAAATCGATCCTCGGATCACGCTTATGGTTAGCGAGCATTCTATAACTGAACCACTGATGTTGGTAACTATGTTTTGGTGAAATATAATCCAGAACAGTGAACTTATCACAAGCATGACAACAACCAAGTCACATATTTTTCATATGGCAATACTGTTAATAGGAGGTAATCTGATTGCATAGACAGTGGGAAACGAGAAAACAGGGATATCCTGGACCGACATGAAGAACCCAGAAGACCTGGATTTCGCGGATGATTTATGTTTGATGTCACACAAAATCGAAGACTTTCAAGCGAAAACCGACAAACTGGTCGAAGAAGCAGCTGGAGAAGACAGGACTCCAGGTGAACATAGACAAGACGGAGGTTATAAAAATAACCAACCAACAACAACAACAACAACAGCAACATCCAGCGTCAATCACCATCAATGGGAGGGATTTGAAAGAGGTTACTTCATTCACTTATCTAGGGAGCTTTCTCTCAACTACAAGAGGAGGAAGAACGGACGAGGATGTCAAATCGAGAATCGGGAAGGCGAGAAACACATTCATCAACCTGAAACCAATCTGGAAATCTTCGTCACTCAGCAACACTCAACAACAAAATTCGAATTTTCAATACAAACGTCAAGTCAGTCAGTTCTTCTATACGGATCAGAAACTTGGCGGGTCACCAGGAATATTTCCAACAGCCTGTTGCAGACCTTTATCAACAACTGTCTTCGTCGCTCTATACTGAAGATCAGATGGCCGGAAAGAATCACCAACAAGAAAATATGGTAACAAACAAAACAAGGACCAATCACTCAACAAATATGCAGGAGAAAGTGGAGATGGATTGAACGCTCGCTGGGGAGGCTGTTGGGTGACATCGCGCGTCAGGCCAACGCTCGAGTGGAACCCGAAAGGGAAGCGGCGAGTGGGACGTCTAAGGGTGACATGGAGGAGATCGTGTGAAGAGGAGTTGAAACAGAATGGACCAACATGGATGCAAGTGAATAGTACAGCAGAAGACAGAAGCAATTGGAGACGTGCAGTTGAAGCCCTATGTTCCACTAGGAACCCAAGGGGTTAATAATAATAAATAATATAATCTGATTGCATATGATAACGAAAAATAATAAATGGTTATGTATTTCACCAGAAATGTGTCACTTTGAGTACAAAGAGTGTAAATCCAAAAATATATCTATGAAAGGTCCCGTTCACTAGTTCACACTAGTTAACATATGTTTGTATCGACTAATTTCGTGGATAAAGGATATTTATAACTATTCATCTAATAATTTTAACAAGTTTCGAATGACTTCTGTTGTGAAGTTATAGTGAGTTCAATCTTCCAACCGATATCAAGATCTCACTCCAGCATTTTGAATCAACAGTAGGAAATAAGACACACTATTATGAGGAAGCGAATACGCATAGTATATATTATATTCAAATCGATGAAGATACGGAACTGTAACAAGGCGCTTAGCCCTAGGTATTCGAAATGAATTTATAACTGCCAAAAATGGGGTACTTATATTAGGGTACAATAGAAATAAAGATGCTCACTGGCAACTGGCCCTATTCAGGTAGGTAGTTACCTGGGGTTCTAGTGAGAAGTCTTGACCAGTAGGGTGCAGCAGGTCGAGTGTGAGGACAAATACTCGCCGAAGGCATTGGCTAGCGGTTGCGCTATATCGTGAATTGGCAGAAGTTAGAATTCATGGGCTGGCCATTGGATCGGGTCTCAGTGGCTTAATGGTATACGAGCTCGCCTTGTAACCAGAAGGTCCTGGGTTCATACCCCGGTTGGTGCGTACTGCTGAAGAGTTCCAAACTAGGCTGATGAAACAGCTGTCCAGTACTCCCAGCAGGTTTTCCAATGGTTCTCTAACCAATGTCAGCTCATGATGAAATCCTGTAACCAAGAAATGAAGTGTAAAGTTTAATTTTAATAATTTTATGAAATAATTCAGATAATTTCCATCTTAATTGTCTTTATTTAAAAACTGGATACAACTTTAGTCTGAACATAGAAGAATAACAAAAGAAAAACTTATCGCGATGCATGAAGAAATCGTTGAAAAATTACGTGAAGTGAAAGAAACATTTGTTTCTGAAAGTGCTGATATTCAAATGCATTGGACAAAGTAAGATTTATTGAGGCCGTATTGTGTTTTATTTTTCAAACAATTAGTTCCCTTTATGAATTGAGACAAAGCAATAAGAAGATGTAATTTGTTTGAACCGCGTAATATGTATTTGTGAGACACATTTCTAACAATCTGATCACACACGGACTTGCCATAGGAACATATATGAAATTAATAAAGAGTTATGAGGTGAGAAAATAGACTTAGGTCAATTTAAAAGGACATATTGAATGTCAAAATAACAGTGAAGATCACTAAACCAAATGACACAGTTAATAGTACATCTGCTATAGTAACAAAACAAATTTTAGTGATGACGAATTGTTTTTGAACGCACGAAGGTGGTTTAAACTTCCTAATTGCTAAGGCTTCCACAAACTTTAGGATATGCCCCAAACACGTTTTATAGATAGGTCTAAAGGACGTGTAAACATCAATTTTATATCCTGTCTCTACAATATGTTTCGCAGTAGAGGAGGTAGGTTTCCTGTTCTCACCATTAATGGGTTCCGGGGATTCTGTTTGCTTCTGGAGCTATTTACGAATATGCTCTGAAGCTCTTATTTGCAGAGATTGATTACTCCTCCCTATGTATATGTGGTCACAGGTACATTCAAATTAGTAAATACAGTAGGATGTGACATTATTTTTCGCATGTTCAAAGGGCTTAGATGGATATATTACCTTCAAATTCTCAATTATTATGATATCAGCTGCATGAAAAGTCTTTTTAACAGCAGCATTCAATCTTTGTCTAGTTGTCAGGCTCCTGTGTTCACCCGTGTAGGGTAGCTTGGTGTACACGTCTTTCTTAGGGGCGAGTTGGAGAGTGGGTCTTGGTGTTCTAATTACTTTATATCTCCTGATGAACTTGTCTGGATAACTGTTATCAACCAGAGTTTGTGTCAGCCTTCTCTCTTCCAAATCAAGTGTGTTTTCGGTACATATTCGTTAGGTTCTACTGAAGGTTCTTTTGTACCGAATAGGGCATAAACTGTGATAATTAAGATACTGTCCTTTCCAAGTAGGTTTTCTATAAATAGACCGTTTTATTGACCCACCAAGCCCTCGACTAAGCAATATGTCTAGGAAAGATAAACAATTATCTCGCTCTTCTACAGACGTAGTTAAGCTTCATTCATTCCAATTAAAATTGAAGTGACAGAACAAGACTTATCAGTTATGATCACAATGTTGTCTACCTACCAACTATAAAGTGGCACATTTTCGATTAAATCCTCCGATCAAGTTTCTATGTACGACATATAGATAACTAATAAAAGGGACCCTAAGGGATTTCCCATGACAACACCATCAATCTGACGGAAACAATAGCCTTCAAACGTAACCTTAACATTGCTGGTACATAGAACTAATAAATTCCATAAATAAAGTATAGTGAATGGGATAAAAAAGTTATGTGTGGAAATTTAATCATACAAAATGTCAATTGTTTCAAACAGATTACGTCTTCTTATTGCTTTGTCTAAATTGTTATTTTTGTTGAGAAATATCGGATTTTAACGATAAACATCATATGTGCAATCAAACCAATCTGATTCACTTTGAACAATATTGATCATAACGAGAATTCATCAATGACTTTCATAAAGTACTGTTTAAATGATGTACTCATATTTCAAAGTTTAACATAATGACATAAAGTAGGCAATGTGATTAAAAGAACATCTGTTAAAGTCGTGTATTCTCCATTGCGACATCGTCAGATATGAGCTTCTTTTCATTCACATTTTAGCTGTTATGACATCTATGAAAAATTATCTTTCAAATTTTTCTTAAAAACAGGATTTTCTACCTATTTTTAAAATTATCTTTAATTTCTAAGTGAGGGTTTTGCAGGTATTTGCCTGATTTCAAGTTTTTGATCAAGGACTGAATTCATCTGGAGAACCATCGAAAACCACAAAGTATTATGCAGCTGTTTCTTTCTTGCCCGGGGCTCTTCAGAATGATGTATCGGTGACCTCGCCAGAGATAGAATCCACTACCTTCAGGTTAAAAGGCGAGCTCGACGACATATCATCTACTTGGATGGAATCCAATAGCCCTTCAATTCTAAATTCTTAAAACACTTGTAGGAATCTTTAGAAGACAGATAATGAAATTCAGGTAGACAACTTATGAAGTATAACAATAAGATATTGACAGCAGATTTGATAGCTTGGTAAATTTTACGAAACATCATTGTGCATCTTAGGGAAGATCAAACAAAATCTTCCCTGACATTATTGAACATTTAACCTAATATACGTGCGTCGGTGGCATAGCGGTTAGGACGCTCGCCGACCATGCACATGGCCTGGGGTTCGATCCCCGACCGGCGCACTCCTTTACCTCGCTAAGCCAGATATAATGCTGGTGAAGAGGAAAGGTTGGGCGTGAGGCTAGCAACCCCATCCTGTAAAATAAACACTGCTAAAGAAACTTTAAGCCACTAGCTTAAAACCCCATGTTCCATTGGGGGACGTGAAGGGAAAAAAAACCTAATATACAATGGTGACTATGCCATAATTTATGACGACTTTATTTTCATAGCTCTACAGCTGCATTTAGATGTGGACTGGAAATATGTTCTTTGTGTATATATTGTTCAAACTTAGCAGTCAGCTGAAGTGCAATAATATTACTTTAGATGATTATAAATCACAAATTGATTCGACAAATGAATTTGAATACAGAAAGGTCGATACAAAGTACAATAAACATGAGTAAAAAATATGATAAGGCTAATATCCTATAAAATTGTAATGTGCGTATATAAGAAAAGTATTGTAACGGTCTAATCTGATTACTACTGTATAAGCAGGATTGTACAACTATGGAAATGAGATCGTCTTCGGAAAAGGACTTTTCTCCGCCTAAATCTTTGTTTTATGCTTCAGTAGGGAGGCCATCCAATGACATCTCGCATCAGGCCATCGCTCGAGTAGAATCGCAATGGGAAGCGGCGAGTGGGTCGTCAGTGCGAGGGTGACATGGAGGAGATCGTGTTGAGATGAGGAAATGAGATATTATGGGTAATCGAAGACGCAGCCGAAGAGGACAGTAGAAAATAGAAAAAAGTGGAGATTTTTTATTGAAGCCCTATGTTTGACTCGGAACCCAAGGGACCAATAATAATAATTCGATTGAAGGATGCAAGTCTCAGTTTACTTGAATATAATTAATTCTTATAATTCCATCTGGTCATGCTTTTGCAAACTTTGGTGAATAACCCTACTATGACTTTGTCGCACAATGACAACTAGCGAAAAGTTAGGTGCAATACTCCAAGTGTAACGACAGAAGACAAGTGAATTGGAATGGTAATGGAATTATTTATTTGAAAACCCGATACATAAATATAGACAAAATACGCTTACTATATATTAGAATCACAGTTGGCATATATCTTCGGTACTGTACTGCTTTGTCCTCGGTACTGTGCTTCTTCGTCCTCCTTTCTTGTTTCCCACGTTGTTTCACAAACATCGTTCATTCCTCCTCTTCGCCGTTTAATCCAATTCTCCAATATTCGATTTCTTGCAGATGATATACATTTAGTGAAGGTAAATCACTTAAACTATACATAATTCGGACTTCAAAACACAATGTAGAAATAAGCATTAAGTTATACAGAGAATAAGAATTAACAAGTATTGGTTTGTAGGAATTTGATTGATTGGTTACAGGATTTCATCATGAGCTGACATCGGTTAGAGAACCATTGGAAAACCTAGGAGTACTGTAGAGCTGTTTCATCAGCCTAGTTTGGGACTCTTCAGCAGCACGCACCACCGGGGTTCTAACCCAGGACCTTCTGGCTACAAAGCAAGCTTCTAGACCATTAAGCCACTGGGACCCGATCCAATGGCCCATGAATTCTAACTTCTGCCGATTCACGATATAGCACGACCGCTAGCCAATGTCGCAGGTTTTCCAATGGTTCTCTAACCGATGTCAGCTCATGATGAAATCCTGTAACCAATAAGAATTACATTTCTTAGCATTAATATAACTTACATATTATTTACCAGTTCATGCATATTATATACAGTTGCTTAAAAAAATTTTTTTATGAAAATATTTGTTTCAACTATTTGAAAGATGTGAACATCTTTTCTGATTTCTTATTTTAGATATACAGAAAAAATGGATCATTTCTGTGAAGAAGCATTTCGAATAAATGTCAAATCATCATTGAGTGAATTACAAAGAGCAATTAACGGTGATGGAAGAAATGATCCTAATCCATTATTCAAAGTATCATTGAATTTAGACAATGATGTTTTAATATTCTCTCCAACTTTGGGTCAATTAACACTTGTTGTAGCATCGATGGGAAGTAAATTCGCCGAGATTATCTCAGTTATCCCTCGTCTGCCTAATTTACTCAGCCGAACAAAATCTATGAAACCAGTAAGTTATAAAGGAGAGAAACAGTAAAATCGTTTTGAAAGTTATATTTTTACATAGTATTAATCTAGAATACTATTTACGTAATCGTTTATAAATAAAGAGTTTATGATAGTCATATAAATAAGAAGTTACAGTTGAAAGTCTGACATTTACTGAATAACTCTGATCATCTATGCGACTCAGTTGAATTATTTTCAAAAATTCAGCTATCTGAATTCCCCTTATTCAGTCGACTGTTTTAAGGCATTAACTACTACTGTGGTGAGAGTTGGCTGCAAGCGAAAATTGTAGACAGCAATTTATGTCAATGTTCACGTCCCAAATCGGGGTCACGACGAAAAACAATAACAAAGCTTAACCTTGAGGAACTCACTAACCAATTACAACAGACTTAGCGTGTGCAAATACGATTCGCAGATGTATGGCTTGACTTTCTGAGAAACGGTCACAAGCTGTACAGAATAACCTTCAACAAGAAAACAACCAATCAGAAGACGGTGCTTCTCTGATAACAACAACACTAATAATAAGGTACATAAAAATCTATAAATATCTGTTGATTTTCTCAATAAACGATCTGTTGCTTGGCCCTTGCCTTCTGTGGTTACACTACTATTTCGAATCAAGTATTAGCTATCAGGAGGAATACAAAAAACTACAACTATATAAACTGTTAGCAAGTAATACTGGTCGATCACCGTGACTTGCATCCATTGACTTTAATTATTGATGTATAATGCAAAACGTCTTCATTTTCATGCACCCAGTGTTGTAAACAGAATGGTTTCCTATTAAAAAGACGGTAAACTTCCACCACTTCTTTGCTTCTAAACATAAAATTCTAAACAAGAATTAAAAGGAATTGAATGCATTAAAAATGACTACTTGAAGGTAATAAAACAGAATCAGTTGTCAATTACTTGTGGACAAAAACAAGAAATGTTCAAAGTGCATTAATTCCTTTTAATGTGATTTGAAAGATTCTGTGGGAAGACGATTTTTTTCAGAAACTTCATACATTTATTCCCCTCTATGAATTTGAATAGAGCGAGAACAACAGTTTGTGCAGAATAATATGGTAGCATCATTTATTTCGTTGACTTCTCATCAGCTGCTTACAGCCTAAATAAGTAATTATTATTAAGTTCATGTACAGAAAACCTCGCCTAGATTACTAGGTCACTAGTATTCTAGCCGGTCCCAAGCCCGGATAAAGAGGGAGGGTTGGAGCGTGGTGCTAGCAACTCCACCCCCAAAACCTAACCAAATTGCTACTAAAACTTCAACGCACAAATATATTCAAAATTCTAAAATTACAAATAGTGACCTTATTTTTCGCTGGAATCGGGGAAGTGAAATGACGCGGGCTGGTGAAAGCCTTCGGGAAGCCAGTCAGCCGATGTGCCTTCTTTCGATGAAAGCGAAAATAAGGATGGGGACGTGGAATGTTCGTACAATGTACGAAGCTGGGAAGGCTGCTCAGGTAGCCGCAGAAATGAGGAGATATAAAATAGAAGTGTTGGGAATCTGCGAGAGCAGATGGAACGGATGTGGAAGGAGCCAACTATCAACTGGAGAGACAATAATCTACTCCGGTCACCCAGAGGACAATCACGAGCACACCGAGGGAGTAGCCATCATGATGTCACCAACAGCGGCTAAAGCTCTCATGCAGTGGGAACCAATCTCCTCCAGGATAATGACAGCCAGGTTCAACTCAAAAGGAAAAAAAGTCGCAATCATCCAATGCTACGCACCTACAAACGCCTCAGAACAAGAGAAGAAGGAGGATTTCTACAGTCAACTACAAACAGTAATGAACAACGTCCCAAAGAGCGATATCAAAATCCTGATGGGCGACATGAATGCGAAACTGGGAGGAGACAATACAGGAAGAGAACTCACCATGGGTCGTGAGGCCCTCGGTGAAATGAACGAAAATGGCGAACTCTTCTCAGACTTCTGCGCCTTCAATGATTTGGTGATTGGTGGCAGTGTGTTCAAACACAGGGACATACACAAGGCAACATGGATTTCACCAGATGGACACACCAAAAACCAGATAGACTTCATTTCAATCTCAAGGAAGTGGAGACGGAGCCTACTCGACACAAGATCGAGGAGAGGGGCAGATGTGGGTTCAGACCACTATCTAGTACAAGGGACTTTCAAGGTGAAGCTGAAAGCCTCGAGGATACCTGGGGATAGGCCACAATGCAAGTTCAACACGCAAAAACTGAAGGACACAATCACACAGGACATTTTCACTGCAACTGTCAGAGCAAAGCAGGAAACACTACGTGGCACCACCGAGGAATCATCCGTGGAAGACCATTTGAACTCTCTGAAGGTAATTTTCAACGAAACGTGCTCAACGGTTTTAGGAAGAAAGAAGAAACAAGACAAGGAATGGCTCTCAACGGACACTTGGAAACTAATAGAGGAGAGGAGAAAGATGAAAGAAAAATGATTCAATGCAAAGATGAACAAGAGAAAGAGACGCTGAACTCAACTTACACAGCACTGGACAAAGAAGTGAAGAAGAGTGCCAGGAAGGACAAAAGATAATTCTACGACAACCTGGCTACTGAAGCTGAGAAGGCAGCAGGCAAAAGGGACCTGAGGACACTATATCAGATAACCAAGTCTCTATCCGGGAAGAGATCAACACAAGTGAAACCTATAAAAGACAGCCAAGGGAACCCAATTACCAAAGAAGAAAGACAGATTAAACAATGGGCGGACCACTTCAAAGGACTCTTGAACCGACCATCACCTGCAACCCGTCCAAAAATACCAACAACAGCACGTACACAACTGCGAGTTGACACCAATCCTCCAACGAAAACTGAAGTCATGAATGCAATCAAGCTTCTGAAAGCTGGAAAAGCAGCTGGACCAGATGGAATACCCCCGGAAGCACTGAAAGCGGACCCAGAAACGACGGCAGATATGCTGACTCCATTATTGCAAAAGATCTGGAAGGAGGGAAAGGTGCCTACTGACTGGAGGAAAGGTTACCTGGTGAAACTACCAAAGAAGGGCGACCTGGGACTCTGCAAGAACTGGCGAGGAATCATGCTCCTGTCGACGCCAAGTAAAATCCTGAGTCGCATCATCCTGGAGAGAATCAAGGACGCACTGGATACAGAACTCCGACCAGAACAAGCTGGATTCAGGAAAGGCAAATCATGTTCTGACCAAATTGCAACTCTACGCATTATCATCGAACAAAGCATGGAATGGCAATCAAATCTCTACCTCAACTTCATAGACTTTGAGAAGGCCTTCGACAGTGTTGACCGCGAAGTAATTTGGAAACTACTCGAGTACTACGGCGTACCCCAAGTATTCATCAACCTTATTCAACAACTGTACGACAACGGCACATGTCAAGTGATCCACAACGGAAAACTCAGCGAGGCGTTTGGAGTAAACACAGGAGTCAGACAAGGGTGCTTATTATCACCAATGATATTCCTAATTGTGGTGGACTGGATTATGCGTCAGACAGTGGGAAACGAGAAGACAGGGATATCCTGGACCGACGTGAAGAACCTAGAAGACCTGGATTTCGCGCGTGGATGACTTATTTTTGATGTCACACAAAATCGAAGACTTACAAGCGAAAACCGACAAACTGGTCGAAGAAGCAGCAAAGACAGGACTCCAGGTGAACATAGACAAGACGGAGGTCATGAAAATGACCAACCAACAACAGCAGCAACATCCAGTGCCAATCACCATCAACGGGAGGGATTTGAAAGAGGTTACTTCTTTCACTTATCGAGGGAGCATTGTCTCAACCACAGGAGGAACGGACGAGGATGTCAAATCGAGAATCGGGAAGGCGAGAAACACATTCATCAACCTGAAACCAATCTGGAAATCTTCGTCACTCACCATCAACAACAAAATTCGGATTTTCAATACAAACGTGAAGTCAATTTTGCTGTACGGATCAGAAACTTGGCGAGTCACCAAGAATATTTTCAACAGGTTGCAGACCTTTATCAACAACTGTCTTCGCTCCATACTGAATATTAGATGGCCAGAAAGAATCACAAACAAGAAGCTATGGGGACAAACAAAACAAGAACCAATCGCCCAACAAATATGCAGGAGGAAGTGGAGATGGATTGGACACTCGCTGAGGAGGCCGTTGAGTGACATCGCGCGTCAAGCCCTCGAGTGGAACCCGAAGGGGAAGCGGCGAGTGGGACGTCCAAGGGTGACATGGAGGAGATCGTGTGAGGAGAAGTTGAAACAGTAGGAATAACATGGACGCAAGTGAAAAGTACAGCACAAGAGAGAAGCAAGTGGAGACGTGCAGTTGAAGCCCTATGTTCCACTAGGAACCCAAGGGAACAATAATATAATAATAATCATGTACAGAAAAGTTTTAACATGATGTCAGTTGACAGGAAGTTCCGAACTCAGTGAACAGTGCTCAGAAAATTACGCTTATATAGTATTGTATATATACACGCTTTTCTGTACATGAACTCAATAATCATTCATTTAGGCTGTAAGCAGCTGATGAGAAGCCAACGAAATAAATGATGGCACTATATTATTCTGCACAAACTGTTGTTCTTCCTCTACGTTCAATGTGTTTAAATATAAATTTATGGATCATTTACGTTTCGAACCTCTCTGAAAATGACTGACACTTTTCTATGTGTGAGGCTATTACCATTATCAGCTACAATGAAATTATTTGGGTTGGTCTTCTCAGAAGTTTGACTAATTTGATATGTCTTACTAGAAAGATAGTTCACAATACGGCATATGGAAATCGAAGATATCTTTAAAAGATCTTTTTGCACATCTTTGTAATCCTGAAAACCATCAGCCTTCGTTATCTATCATAGATAAATTCATAGTTTGTGGTATAACAGGACAAAATATAAGTCAGATTTGGGCAGTTTTATTATACATTGCCAGGTATCCTCGTCGTGCTGAAGTATGTTTATCTAACTATTTCCTAAATAAGTACCTGATATTTTCACCAAAAAGCTAGACACACAAAGGCTTCACCTTTTGCTAGTTATTCAACGTCATTCAGTCATAAGCATAAACACTAACGGATCAGAACATAGTAGGAATCTACGCTTGCATTTTCTTCTCTGAAGTTGTCTGTATGCAGGTCAAAGAATCTCGCATAACATGCGAAGGATGAATTTCTCAGATTCAACGTGTTGGCCATGTCTCATAGATACAACATGCATCTATATATATAAATATGCAACAGCTCCCACTGATGAAACCTGCAATCTGATTTGATTTAAAGTCTAAACATTCAAGGTTACAATATAATGTAGGAAGTGTGTTTTCTCTTTGTTTTAAGCTATTGAAAATGATCAAAAAGTCAATATAAGATGAAGGAACTGTATGCAGAATAACACTAAATATGGGAAGAGGTTAGATTTTAGGAAAGTAATAAGATTGAGTTGAGGATAAATGATGTATACAAAAGCCTTACGTATTTTGTGAAAGCGTTTAAGAAGTTGTTACTTCTAGGCTACCCATAGAATGTGAAAGTCGATTTCTCTTTGGAGTACACGTCAGATATAAATGATTAGTTTTGTAATGACCACAATGCCTAGGAAACAACTACTTGAGGTCACATGTGACTTATCTGGACGTAAAGAAATCTGTGAAGTTTCATATGTGTGAAAAGCCTCACCTCCAATTGCTGACTGTTTCATGGTAAGTCAGTATGCATAATTTTTGAGATCAACCTTTTTAAGCATTTTCTCCCTAGAGCGAGGAGTCAGAATTGCTGATCACCTAATTGCAACACATTATCATAAATCTTGTTCCCCTCTTGTTTATGTATATTAGATAGAATAAAACTTTTCACTGATACATAGGCTCTTTTAAGAGTTGCTGGACATTCCCTTGAATGTCTTAATGTTGTTCGTTTACCTTTACAAACTGGTAAATTCAATTAAGGAGAATAAACAAAGGCAAATTACAAGTACAATCAAGTGGAAAATTAATGATCGTTTGTATAAGATACGGGTAGTGTGGCTTGGAAGCATAGTGCACAATGCTTTTGAGTTTAGGACGACAGGGACTGAGTTCAAACCTTAATAAATCTAGCTAACGAGTCTAAGTCAGAACGATATACGCAACCTAGATTCCACTTCTGTTTTTCACCAAATGAATAACATTAAGCGTTTTTATTACCAAATATTTAAAATATTTACTTCCTTTTTTGTTCATTCCATATCATCTAGCCAATAAGTGAAGTGATTGCAACAGACGAAGAAATTAATAAAATACAAGCCAGTATTAAACGTGGGATGCAAGAAATTGGTACAGCTGTTCATGAACCACTTAGTTATTGGGATCAATTTAGAGAAATTTGGGAATTACCTAAAGATGACTTTATACAACGATATCGACAATTAAATCCTCATGTCACTTCAATTGATGCCGACATAGCTAGGTAAGATTATGATACACTTTTCACATATGGTATCAATCGCACAAATAACTAACTAAATGTCATCGCCATCCCATTAACTATGTTTGACAATGAGACTGTCTAGTGACTTACCATTCAGTCTTTTGTAAACACACCCCTTCCACTCAAGGTCAGTATATGCTTACTATTCTATTCCTCCATATCTTTGAAAAAATGGCCCAAATCAAGAACTGCCTTTTATGTATAATTCTGTTTCTGACATTTGTCGAATGAATAACAATTTTCAAGTATTGTTTTTGTGGGGACTTTGCCTGATTGGTTGGAAGATTTCATCATGAACAGAAATCAATTGTTTTGCACTTATTACTGTTGTACTATTGTGATATTAACGCATTTCAGATACAGACTTAGACTCTGTGTTCTCAGTATTAACTGTGAATTTCAAGAAATCTGTTATCACAATCAATTAAACATGGAGTAATTCCTGTACAACCGCATAATACTGTGATTTGTAATATCTGCGGTTATTTTTGACAATTTACAAAGAAATCCTTTTAAGGTCTAGTGCGTCATTAAAATTCTCACCAGAAAGAAATTTAATTTTTTTAAATTGTCACTTTGTGGTGGTGTGATACAGACAATTTGTTTCAATGGAATATCATTCTCACATATTCTCACAGTCCTATGGCATTAGCAACAGAATACGACATATCTATTTGACCACTATATTTTCTGTTGGTGGTGCGTCAGTGGTATAACGGTTAGGACGCTGGCCGACTATGCACATGGTCCGGGCTTCGATCCCCGGCCGACGCACTCCTTTACCTCGTTAAGCCAGAAATAAAGTTGGTAAAGAGGAAAGGTTGGGCATGAGGCTAGCAACCTCATCCTGTGAAAATCAACACTGCTACAGAAACTTCAAGCTGGCTCTAGACTGAAGCCCACTGGGAACGTAAAGGAATTTAAAAATTTGCTGTTAGAGACAGAATACTTTTCCCACAGTTCATCACTGCCTTAGCAATAGAATACTATTTGTATTTAGACATTCTATTTCATATCGTCTAATGCAAACCAAAATCACACGCTCAGTGATTGGTTTAAGAATATAAACTATATATATATATATATATATATATATATACAGCGGTTTGATCAATGAAAAATATACCGTGGCTTCCGTGTCTTGCCTTCTGCTGTGACAACTTGACAACATAATGCATCAATGCGAGTGTTGAAAATATCTTTTTATTACATCAGCATGCGATCATTATGACTACGGTGAAATATTCCCTTTAGTTACTAATGTAATTTAGACAAATGGAGTATGGTCACAGAATTAACTCTAAGTTAGTGGTAACTCATATCATCACTCTAATTAAAGGTAAAACTGAACTTATCTTTTTTTTCTTTAGACAATCATCGGTCGTAAATAGCTGAATGATGGATACTGACAGTAATATAGCCAAAATAACACTATCTTATATCATGCAACGCGTCGGTAGCACAGCGGTAGAATGCTCGCCGACCACGCATGTGGTTCGGGGTTCGATCCCCTGCCAGCACACCCCTTTACCTCACTAGGCCAGTAATAAAGCTGATAAAGAGGAAAGGTTGGGAATGAGGCTTGCAACCCCATCCTGTAAAAATAAACACTGCTACAGGAACTTCAAGCCTCTAGCTTGAAGCTTTATGTTCCACTGGGAACGTGAAGGAATGAAAAAAATGCCTGAGGTAAAACTATTTCAGCTAAAGATCCATGTATTCATCACCAAGAGAAACTGAAGAACAAACGTTTCTTTGATTTTAGTTAATTCAAAACAGTATACAGCAAAATATGTACGACTATCATTGTTGTATATCGAGACAAAAACAAATTTAAAAAACATATCTAAATTGTAACGTTAGGCAGAGTTAAATGTTGCGTACGAGTGACAAAATTCAGTGAGTCTTCTCACTGAGTTATTTTATTTCATCAAGAGGGCTGAATGCATGAGAGTTAAATGTTATTATTACTATTCTAAAATGCTAGCATGTATGGAGCTCTAAGAGTAACTGCTTGAAAGGCTGTGAGTCATATCGTATCGATAGCTACCAGTTAACATTTTTATCTAGTATTTCTCTGAAATATTCATCTGCAGTAGCACGTGCCTAGACTAAATTACAGACACTTCGAAATAAATGACATTAAGGTGAACAGAATTTCCTGACGAAAAAGGCATCTTCACAGATGTTAACTTTATTCTCGTGGCGAGTTCTTTTAAAAGATGAAATAAACTCTACTTTTAGCAGTGTTATTTCATTTAGTTATGGTTTAAAATCATTTTTTATGGTTTCAAAAACTTCTTTGTTTTGTTGACTAGCGGATTGATAAATATTTTTGGCTAATTGATGATCACTCGTAATCTTTCTTGCTAAGCTTGAAAATTGTCCATTGAAACAAGTCATAGATAAAATGGATTCTTATTTTCGTTGTGTTGATGATACGTTTATTATTCTTGATGAGAAAGCTGACAAGAATGAAATGTTATTAAAATTTAACGATGCACATCCATCGCTTATCTTCATTTGTGAAGAAGAACATGATGGTAGATTACACTTCCTTGATGTCCAGTTGAGCAGAAGAGAGGATGGTTCACTCAAGAGAGATGTCTATATAAAACATACTTCTGTAGGACAATATACACATTTCCTCAATTTTGTACTAATGCGATACAAATTCAATTTGGTCAGATGTCTCACGAATAGAGCAAGGTGGATCTGTACAGATGACTCCCTAGAAAATGAATTAGGATACATCCAGAATACGCTGGTCCAAATGGGCTATCCCAGTAGATTTATAAGTAGACACATGAACACCAGGTACAATAAAGAGAAACTGACAACAGTTAAAAGGAAACAACTGTTCCTAAAATTGCAATTTAATGGGGACGTGGCTAGTGAAGTCCTACATATAAGACTATCGAGAGCAGTAAAACGGACTTATACTGCCGCCATCCTTTGTTTGTCATTTTCCAGCCGACCAATTATGATTGCTCAAGCGAAAAACAAACTACCTAGCTGTGCTACTTCTATGTGCGGAGAAAGCTATACAGGGCGAATGAGCATCTTCCTTCATGGTTCGGAAAAGGTCAAATAAAATCTATAAGAAGTTCTATTTTGACTCATTTGATTGATGATGGCGGTCACCAAGTGGACAGAAGTAGTGCCATCAAAGTTATTTATCACATTCCATCGAGCCTTTCAAACGGAATTCGAACCCACCTTTTACTTATAGCCGAAGCTATGGGAATAATTCGAGAGAATAATCTTAGTCTTTGCATACAAAAGAAGTTTGTTCTACCTTTTGTCTCTCCCTTGGCCTACGTAAATTCTAATCAAAACCCTCCCACCCTTTCTGATCTTACATTTCCTTCGTACTTTTATGATATTTATTTAAACTCTGATTATCTGTCCACTTCACCTACCTTTAGTATTACGTAACTTCTTAGATTTGACCTAATTTATTTATTGAATTGTCTACATATACACATATTACTACCTTTGTTATTCTTATCGCCACCTGCATAAACCTTATTATCACTCTCTTGTTATTACTGACGTTCAAAACATTTAACATATTATTATCATTATTTGATCCACAAAATCACCGTCATTCGCTTAAATTCTTTTTATATCTCAGTCTATGTATATTAGAGTAAAGCCTGAAGAAGATCTAATTGAAAACAACAATATTATTCACTCATATTGTAACAACAGAAGACAAGGGCCTGGCAACAGAACGTTTATTTAGGAAATCAACACATATTTATAGATTTTGATGTACATTATTGTAGGTTAATGTTAGTAGAAAATACAGTCTGTTGATTGGTTGTTTCTCACACAAAGTTAACCTTGCATCTCTTGTGGCTGTGTCGGTTCATCTATATGTTAACTGTATCCGCCTGTCCATCTTGACCTTGCTTTCACATGACTAACACTGACCTCAATTACTGTCAACCAATTTGGCTAGCAACCATCTCTCACCACAATATGTCTTGTTCTAACATTAATAATGGGAATATTTAAACACTCGTATATTGTTTGATAATTCAAAAACCAGAATTTATGTTTAAGTATATTAGTTATATATTAAACATTGAAGGGATTAAATCAACAGTCTGTGTTATATCCCTTAACTTAATGACCATATCCTACTCACAGTACACTTCCTCCCCAACAAGTATATCTTCTACAGTCCATTTGCTAATTAACGTGCATAATGCTGCGTTTTCCCATATAGCTAGGTAACATGACTGTTAGGACAGGAGGAAATATATTATGAGTCATTGTTTACGTACTTCGGAAACCAGACATTTGATCCTGACGTAGATTAAGGGTCATGTCATTGGATTTCTACTGGTGTAACCAATCCATTTAGAGTATAATCTGTTATATGTTAAACTAGTAATTGATTGGTTATGTAAAATGACTGCATAAATATCTGTAATTTCCAGTGACATTGTCTTCTTCATGGAGTCTAAGTCTTCACGTTCTCAGTCAATCTTCCCTATCTTGCTGAGTGTGGGAATGGTAGTCGAGTGATCAACCGTATATTGTTGTGTGTTGAAGTAGTAGTAAGAAGGAACCCAAATTCGGTGCCATTCAGTTAACAAATAATATTAGTCTGTGGTGTATACACTGATAATTGTCTAGAGGACTCAATATCACATCTTCATCATGTAGAATAAATCTGATCACCACAATGAGCAGTGTTTAACATTACTTGAAATAATTCTTCCATCCAAATGCACATTTATATAATCTTGAAAATGTGTAATATATAGCTCCCATTTTAAAAACATCAGTATTCTGAGTAAGCAAAAATCAAATTATGTACATGTAATAAAGATGATCAGATTGCCAGAAAAGATTAGCAACATGGAGGTCGGTCGGTCGGTCGGTTTTCGACATAGAACTTTGCACATATGTGCGGCAGTTCAAGTCGCCACAATCTATGTAGCACGCAAAGCAAGAGAAGAAAGTAGAAGAAATGCATCAGGGAGGGATCTCTGGGGGCTAACCAACCCAGCAGAAACCGATTGTGAAACAAATATATGCAGGAAGAAATGGAGGTTGATTGGCCATACTTTGAGAAAACAAACCATCAAGTGACATCACATGCCAGGCCATTGCTCTAGTGGAACCCGAATGGGAAGCGGTGAGTTGTTCATCAGTGCGACGGTGACATAGAGGAGGAGGTCATAAAGAGAGATGAAAGCATGTAGGCAGACGTGGAGCCATATGAAAACGTTGGCTAAGCGACAGAACACTGCTTTGCTGCACCGTGATAGTGCATATTTTGTTACTTATTATGCTATAGTATAACTTATCAACTCATTTATTCTTCGAAAATTTCAATTACCATTGTTCTTTCATTTCATTTAGGTATACAGAAGTAACCAATAAAGTATTGGATGCAGAAACAATGGTTACAACAAGATTTCTTCAACTTGATTTCAGTTTACTGAAAAATGCAATAGCTGCTCATTGTAAAGATTGGCAATTACGTTTGATAAATCTTCTATTGTCAATGACAACAGATTCATTGAATGGAATTTACACTTATATGAATAATGTTCAAGAAAGGTGAGATATCAGTTGTAATGATAATAGCAAACATGTTGATTTAAATCCATTCACACATTGAATCACTCAATTAAACTATCTGAATGAATTACTTTCACAGCTACAGTTGAACTGTATCAGTACATATCATATCAAGTTGATATGATTATGAGCAATAGTTTGTGCTCGAAACGTCATCAGTTAATATTAATGTATAACACTGTGTGATTTATCAAAATAAAATCTTATCTATATTGGAGTTATGCTCTACCACAGTGCCCAAGTTTTATACTTATATCACTAGTCAGTAACTAGTGTAATCTGTCTAGTCCTATCTTTGGTGCAGACTGAACTCTATCAGTCAAGTTTGCAATATGGCCATCATGCTAGGTGGCTGCCATCAAGGTGCACTGTGAATTGTTGGTATTATGTGGTTGGAGGCAATCGGCAACTCATCTATATATATAAACACTTATAGAGTAAGATCTGAGTGACTGCCTTTAAAAGCCGAAGTCACTGTGTCAATAACAATTAGTTCAAAATAATTTAAAAATAACAAATGGAGATATGCAATAACATGGTTTTCGTTAACAAATTTTTCCGTTCTCAATTATTTTTAGAATACTCCGACCACCACAGAACTTAGATGAACTTGGTGATTCAATTCAACTTTTAGAACAAATTTTATCTGAACAAGGTGAAATTCAAGCGAAATTTGGTCCTTTAGGAGAACAATTCGCTATTTTAGATAAATGTGAAGTAACCTATACAGAGGAAGTATCAAGTAGACGAACTAATTTAGCCAATGATTGGGTACAATTCCAAAGTGCACTGGCGTCAGCTGAAATGGTAAGGTTCTGGATTCCTTCATAAACAGTCTTTTGTATTCTTATGTAAACAAAGCAGTTTATACTGCTTATAATTCCACAAAAGAGGGTGATTTAGTGCAGAAATATTATTATTCCATATAATGAACCCTTCATTTTTTTCATTTTTATTTTATTCCTTTGCGTTCCCACTGGAACATAGGGCTTCAAGCTAGAGCTTTGAAGTTTCAGTAGCAGTGGTCTCATTTTTGCAGGGTGGGATTGCAAGTCTCACTCCCCAACTCCCCTCTTTGCCGGGCTTATTATTAGCTGAGAGAGTTTTGGGAGTGCGTCGGCCGGCGATCGAACCCTGGACCACCTGAGTGGCTGACGAGCAATCTACCTCTGCGCCACTGACGCAATGAACACTTTCAGTTTCATCTATCTTAATATCATTGAATAAAGCTACCTGATTAAAACTCCGAAGAAAAACAATTGAAATAATCTGAAATCCATCTTAGCTTTTGATTAAATCATTTTGTCCAGTATTTCATCTACATGATATAGTGCGCTGACAATCAGCCTCAAATATCATTTCGTTATCTCAATCAGTTTGGAAGGTAGACAAGCAGTAACACTTATCTTTTAATAGTTTTCCTTATAATATCTATCCTACTGTCTTAATAACGATAATAATAACTTTATTCTGTACAGTGTTTATAAAATTTAAAAAGTTCTCTGCAGAGATTATTGCATAATACTTTCTCTTAATACAGAATCTTCAGATCAAATATTAACTGACAGTAGGTCCTGTGACCCAATGTCCTCTCAAACGAAGCACAAACCAATCCATTTATGATATTTCTTTTTTGTCTCCTTCGAGAAATGCACTACATTTGGTTGAAAGCCAAACGTAAAACACTCAGGAGTACATTTTGAGACCCAATGAAATAACCCAGAAACAGTCGTTTCATGTACTGGGATACGCTAATCCTCACAATTATGCTTTTTTTCGAGTTTAGTAGAAAATGGCGAATCAGATCAGCAGGTTGTAAGCACTTTAAATACCCCATTAGAGGTCATATTTCCTTAGATTAAAACAAGGTGAACAGGAGAATTATATGCAATATAATGATGGAGGTTTTTGGTGGCCTAAGCTTCACATCAACCGCCATGAAGTTGCACTGAATTTTAAGAAAGATAAAAAGCACTACAATTGTAACGACAGAAGACAAGGGCCAGGCAACAGATCGTTTTTTGAGAAAATCAACAAATATTTATAGATTTTTATGTACATTATTATTAGCGTTATTGTTAGCAGAGAAGCAACGTCTTCTGATTGGTTGTTTTCTTGTTGAAGGTTATTGTCATCTCTTTGTGGCCGTTTCTTAGATAGTCAGGCCATATATCTGCGAATCGTATTTGCACACGTTAAGTCTGTAGTGATTGGATGGTGAGTTCCTCAAGGTTAAGCTTTGTTATTGTTTTTTCTCATGACCCCGATTCGGGACGTAAACATTGACATAAACTGTTGTCTGCAACTTTGGCTTGCAGACAGCTCTCACCACACAATCATCGAAGGGCGTGTTACAAGAATCTGCCATGAGTGGATATTAATGGATATTTATCATATGTTGTCCTATGCTTTCTGAATGGTATTTATGCTTTATCACTTCTTTTTATATCGACAGATGATTAAAAAATCAAAAGAAAAATTCAAAATTGGCCTATTAAGTGATACAGAAGAATTCAAACGTGCTGTATCACATCTTTTACAAGATCTACAAGTGAATGGACCATTTGCAGCCTATCTTCAACCACAAGAAGCATTAGACATTATTAATAATTTCCGTGAACAGTTAGATAATCTCAAGAAACATGAACTAGAATTACGTCATGGGTTGAATTTATTCAAAATAGAACAACCGCCATGTAAAGAAATTGTTGTAATTGAGAAGGTAGGTATTCATTAGTTTATAAAATATATATATTTAAGCTATTCATTTGTTTCATAATAGATTTTGTAACACTGATCAGAATTCGACAATTGATGTACGTCGAGCAGTGCAGTTGCCATCAGTCAGAACTGTTTTCATAACTTTTCAAATGAAGTTTTTCTCTTAAAGTAATTTTGATGGATGATGACTAGCCGTGGAATCCAGAATGCACATTTCTTCCTATTTGGGACTCGTCGTTTGGATGTACCTGCATCCCCAGTGAGTGGTGCATGGCGTTCCAATTAGACTCGAACCCAGTGCCTGTCATCTCATATGCCAATGCGGGCAAAGTTAAACTTTCGACACCACTAACAGCCAATCAGCAGACGACCTTGGACGGGCCAATCACATTAAAGAGGCATTTATGATAAATGGAAACGTATATTCGCAGAAAAAAAGCACAAAAAGAAGCATAAAACTGTTACAGGCGATATCTTTCCTTAACATGTGAGAGAAACATCTCTCAGTTTAGCATCGGACGGTCAATAGAAAAATTACACCACATTATGTACATATATTCATCTAAATGACTATAAATGAGATCTTTTTGAGACCCGTTTATTCTATTTTTTAACCTGCCCCAAAATCCTCCAATGGAATTAGAATGCGTCCTGGTAACGGGATCGACGAAATCACGAATCCTTTTCTCAGGGAGGTGTCGTATAAACCTATTACCTAAATATTGTTCGCTCTCTGGCGAATTATATATTTCTTATATATATTTATATTTCTTCTTCACCAACATAGTTTCATCGACGTGCACAACAACGTCTTCTCCACCCAACAAAGAACTGATTTTCTCCATTTTCCACAAAGCAATATCTCTACAATGCTGGTACCATTGAACCTTTGAGGTGAGGCTATTCTCCGTCTCCGCAGCTGCGGCTCTCACTGGTTGTTTTAATACCCAGTAGTTGCAGATATACAAAACTTACAACAAGGAGCGGTGTGATCCTGCAAAAAAAGTTCCTACGAAATACTAAAATTATTAACTTACCCTCTCTAATGCTAACTCGCTTCAAGTATATTGCTCAACGATGGACAAATCCATCAGTTGACCTGGTATAGCTTTTTAAAGATATTACACCACCACACGAACAAGTTCTCTCCTTTCGAAGCAAGCCTAAATCCAGTCAATACAGGAATACACTATCGCCCTCGAATTGCAAACGTAGGAAAAAGTGGAGATGGGTTGGGCATACATTGAGGAAACCGTCGAATGACTTCGCGCCAGGCCCTCGAGTGGTATCCAAATGGTAAGCGATGAGTGGGTCGTCGTTTCGGGGGTGGCATGTAGGAGATAGTTCGAGGAATAGGTGACAGATTGTGGGCAGTCGTACAGCTAGCGAGCTGAAGAGGATGACAGAAAATAGAAGAAATTGGAGATGTGTCGTTGTAGCCCTATGTTCCACTCATAAACCAAGGGAACAATAAATAATAATAATAAATAAATTCTCTCTGTGAGTAAATAAAGTTGATAATTTCTCCGCTACAATGAATAATTATTTTCTATATTTTTTAGGATTTAGACCTTTTAAATACTATTTGGTCAACAAACTTAGAATGGGATAAAAATTGGGAAGGCTGGAAAGTTGGCCGATTTTATGATTTACAAACAAATGATATGGAAAATTTAGCTAATGCGGTATTTCGAAAATTTGCTAAATGGTCACGCGATTTAAAAGTAAGTTGTTTTGGGAAAAACTAAAACTTAACATTATATATATATGCATATATCTTCATTATTAACTCTGATATACATGAATACTGTCTGAGCCCCCTAGAAACACAGTTTTGATGGGATACCGTACACATTAATAACCACATATGGATGTGACCGATTAATTCTAACTGGCATCACTTGGTCTTACTTTTGCAGTTTAAAATGTCAAAAAGAAATGTCTAATTTCTCCCTTTTTTGGTTCTGAGTTGGATCTGATAGTGTCTTTAGTCACTAAGATGAATAATATCACTATGCAACATCAAAATAATAAGTATGAGTGATTTCTTATACTTCTTTTGCCATCTTTCCGATGCCACTAAGACAAGTATGATAATTAGATGGTTGGAGGCAATCGGGAGGAAGCCCAGGCCGACCTAGGTTTCTTGCTAGTTGGCACTCGTCAGCAAGGTGTATCTGCAACCTCGAAGGAACTCATATCCCTTCTGAGATTCGCAACCTTGTCACCCAGTACCGCCTTCACTCAGAGACGTCACCACTGAGCTATTCTGGCTGGCTTGCGATTGACCTCCTGTAGGACTGTACTGCATACTTTGATTGGACACTAGTAGCTGGTGTATCTAGTCCTTTGTTTGGTGCAGACGAAATTCTATCAGTCAGGTTTGCAATGTTGCCACCATTTAATATCAACAATTCAATGTGCACCTTGATAGCAAGCCACCTAGTGTGGTGGCCACATTGCAAACTTGACTGATGGAATTCAGTCTGCACCAAACGAAGGACTAGACACATCACACTAGTTACTAGTGTTCAATCAAATTACAAGTATGATAACTTATCTCGAAACTGTGTTAAAACTATTTCATCCACAAACTTACATAGCATTACTATGTAGACAGATACACTAAATAACGAAAAGTCGTCAGACTTCACGACCACACAAAGGTGAAGTTTTACAACAGTTTGTTGTCATTAATCTGGTGTGGAAGGAAGTTATTATGCACACAATTATTTATACGCAATTCACTGATATTCATTTGACTCTTTCTACAAAAAATAAACCGAAGGAAGCTTAATACAAGTTTTTAAAGGTACTTCTTATTTGAGCGCTCTTAGAACACATATATACTCAGCTGCGTCTGAAATATTGCATATTTCTTGATCTGAAGGTAATATTTACCTCGTATCGAAAGATACTCTCGTGATATCTGGAGTACACAGAAAGTGTGTTCACCCAATCAGGTTTTTTTTCTGGAATTGAGGCAGAAGTTTGTTAGTTTATAGAAAGTGGTCGTCTAGAGCGATAACCGCAACTGGTATACTCTGCTTTTGTTGCAACAACTTAAAGTCTTTCATAATGGCGTAAATGTATTCACTGGTCGTCATCCTCTAGAGTCTAAACATCTTTAATATTTGTAAAATCTCAAAGAAATTGAAATGAGTAATTCCAAAGTTTCGTTCGGCAAACTGGTTCGAACTTCTTCAGGAAAATTAATCGAAATTAATGTAACAGAGGTTTATGTATATATAGGACATCTTTTTTGTTTTTTAAAAACTTTGTCCAATCATATGAAACAGTCATCACAATATAATAAACTAACAAAATTGTATGAGCTGTGATCAAAATTTGACCTCAGACTTACAAATATTAGTCTACTTTAAACAAAATGTACTTTTTATCAGATTACATTAAACTAAAAGTTCATGGGCGTAGATAACTGAATATGAAAACATTTATATGTATGCTAATGCTAATGGCCTTACTCAGAGGGCTTTATCCATGCGCGCGCGTGAACATGTACCTGTATGGTTGAGTAAAGGAGTAACCAAATGTGTAAATAGTGCAGTCTTAGCCCACTTGGTAGATACGGGACACTCGATAAAACTTGACCAGGCGTTATCAGTTATTTACCGCGTTCCTAGTAATTTATCTAGAGGAGTTCGACTGCGTCTTCTATCAGTAGCTGAAGCGGTGGTAATTAATACCAGAAGACCATCTCTTTGCATACAGAAGAAGCATGTTGAACCATTATGTTTACCTTGGCCTACAATAAAGCCAACAAATCCTCCATTAACACTATAAATTCCTTTCACAATTTTCTTTTCTTTTCTTCTTCTTCTATTCCTCTGTTTCACTGACAATCGTTCATTTTCGACTTTTATGATTTCATGACCTTTCTTATGATTTTATTACCTTGCTATCGTATTTACAAAATCCTATTCATTCCACTTCATTGTATTCATTATTATTATTTGACAATCGTTTACCAATAGTGCATGTAATTTTACACCATATCATCGTTATTATTTTACAATCATTCTTACTGGCGTTATTTTCAACCTTGAACTTATGTCTAATCCGCCCCATTCGTTGGTTTGTTTTCATATTGTCTCACACACCCTGATTACACACACTCTCGAAACCTGTATTTCTGTTGACTATATTTATATATATACACACATCATTAAATTAAATTACTTCATCTGATTTTGTCCCATGTTCTCACTGACCATGCATATTAAAAAAACTATCTGACTATTGTTCCATCCCATCTTATATTTGTTCCACAATACACTTTCTGATATGATTCTAATTTGCCTTTACTGGCTATTGTATGCTTAAATTACTGGATTTATAATTGTAGAGCCTGAAGAAGAATTTATTGAAAACAATTGTTCGCACTAAATAATTTGTTCTGAATATGTATATGCGGTATACAATGGTGTGTGTGTGAGGGGGGGGGGGTGAAGATTTGTAAAACGTGTGCTAGCCTCTCCATAAGGAGTTATAGAAAATGTGGAATTTAGATCAAGTTTGATTAATTAGTGATACATATCCATTTTTTTATTTATTAATCAGGATTTGCCACGCATCAGTTAACATCACACCTTCACGTCTGTTCAAACTCTTTGGATTCATCCATATATATGCAGGGTTTCTGCAGTCAGTCTTTCTTTGTACGAGCCAAAACCTTTCTATAGAACCTTAGTCCTATGAAATTCGATTTTGTGTCCCGTTTCTATCGAATGCAGTGCAATCGCTGATCTGTTTTCTAGCTTCTTTAAGTCTACAGAGGTCTTTGGAACCACCTTTAGATATTCATTAACTTATTTTTCCTTTCATATGTAACTGTTTAATATAATGTATTACGAGTTGATCACGGACTGATATCAGTTAGAGAACCATTGAAAACCAGCAACGAGTACTGGACAGCTGTTTCATCCTAGTTTGGGAATCATCGGCAGTACGCACCCACCGAGAGGGGTTCGAACCCAGGACCTTCCGGTTACAAGGCAAGCTCGTATACCATTCAGCCACCGGGGCCCGATTGAATGGCCATCCCATGAATTCTAACTTCTATCAATTCGTGATTTAGCGCGACTCCAACCATTGTCGTTGGTGGGACATCCATTCACACACGTGACATCTAATTCGACCTCACTGGATGTCCCACTAACGACAATGGTTGGAGTCGCGCTAAATCACGAATTGGTAGAAGTTAGAATTTATGCACTGGTCAGTGAATCGGGTGTCAGTGACTGAATGGTATACGAGCTTGCCTTGTAACCAGAAGGTTCTGGGTTCGAACCCCACTCGGTGGGTGCGTACTGCCGATGATTCCCAAACTAGGATGAAACAGCTGTCCAGTACTCGTTGCTGGTTTTCAATGGTTCTCTAACTGATATCAGTTCGTGATCAATTCGTAAAACATAACTAATCCTTACAATTTAAAACAGTTAGTCCCTTTTATAAATTTTGATAGCATTATTAGAAGACGGAGATTATCTGAAAAATGTGATGTATTAGCGCTATACATTTCGAACAATCTGATCACACATTTACTTGTCAAGTCAATATATATGGAAAGGTTAAATTAAACAAGGTGACAAAAAAAAAGAATTAAGAATAATTAACACAAACGTTTGGTAATCCAATCAAATAAGGATTACCAAGGTAGGTTAAGAGTAATAACAAACTGTTTATGAATACACAAGGGGGGCTTAAGTTTATGAATGGCTATAGCCTCAGCGTATTTCAGTAAACGTCCTTGACCGTTTTTATAGATGACCTTAAAGGCTGAGTTAACATCAACCTTATGGTTCATATCGATTAAATGTTTAGCTATAGACGAAGTTGGTAGTCTGGCACCTGCATCTATGGGCTTGTCACAATTCATCTGTTTTCCTAACCACTTTGGGATATGCTCTCCCACCCTCACGTGCAACGCGCGATTACTCCTCCCTATGTATGTATGTCCACACACACATGAAAATTGGTAAATTGTATGGGATGTGATATAATCACTTGTGCACTTTTGAGGTTTCCAGTGAAGCATATTTTTAGCCTTTTCGACAATTACAAGCTGGGCTGCATAGTAGGTTCTACGGATGATGGAATTCAACCTTTGTCTCAAAATCCTACTATTTATTTCCCCATTATATGGTAATTTGATGAAAACCTTCTTCTTAGGGACGGTATGGATTGTAGGTTTAGAGGCTAGTTGACTTCTACACCTGTTTAAAAACTTCAAAGGATATCCGTTTTCAACAAGAGTATCCATCAATATTTCGTTTTCCTTGTCTATAACATCAGGCGTGCAAATACGCTGAATCCTCTTAAATAGACACTTCACCAAGCCTCTCTTATATTGTAATGGACAGAAGCTGTGAAAATTAAGATATTGCCCTGTCCAAGTGGGCTTTCTGTAGATAGAACGTTTTATTGAGCCATCGTCTCTTCGACTCAGAAGTATGTCTAAAAATGCGAGCTGGTTGCGACTTTCTTCCTCGCATGTAAGACTAATATGATTCTGTACAGAGTTGAGTCTGTCCAATAGACGACTCGCATCTTCATGATCATCGCATATCAAAATGATATCGTCTACATATCTCCTATAGAAAGGCAGTTTAGAAATTAAATCAGAAGATAAGTTTTCAACATAAGACATAAAAACATCCGCTAATAAAGGTCCTAATGGACTCCCCATAGCAACACCATCCAC